GTTGGGTGCCCTCAAAGACACCAAGGCCAGAGGAGAATGCAAGGTAAGAGGTGCAGCTGACCTGCAAAGTGTGAGATTCAGACACAGAAACTGCATTTTGGCTGTGGTATTTAATGTCTTCTGGGAAAGTCCTCCTCACAGTTGTAATTTGTGTATCTCTCTCTCAAAGAATGACTTCGATTCTGGCCCAGTAAAAATTTGGCTGTGGTATTTAATGTCTTCTGGGAAAGTCCTCCTCACAGTTGTAATTTGTGTATCTCTCTCTCTCAAAGAATGACTTTGATTCATTCAGTAAAAACAGTCAGTCATTGCAAAAGGAAAACTTTGATTTACCACAGGCCTTGAACCACTAAATAAACAAAAGAAAAAATCAGTTAATATTGAAAGCAAACAAAGCTTTGGTGAAATAGTAAGTGATTTAACAAATGTCAACAGCATCATTGCACATATCTTATGGGTTTAACAAATGTCAACAGCATCATTGCACATATCTTATGCTCACTGATACCTTACACATCAGAGTCATTCACTGCCAAAAACTAAGCTGCAACAGAATTTTAACATGGCATGCACCCTAAAAGCCTCATTTTTCTCTGTTTAAATTGGGAGGTGGGAAACTGATGGCAGCAACAAGGGAGCCTGGAAGCTGGAATGGGAACATTAATGGATGGGTAAAATGTCATGTAACATCCTTTCAGCACTGTGATTCCTCCAGGCAAACCCCCTCTACCAACCCAAAGGCAACCTGATGGTCAGATTCCTACAAAAAATAAAACAAGTGGTCTACAGAGGATAGTAGTCCTCTCTAAATTAAGAAAAATGTTATTTCTTTCCACTCCCCCAGGGATTAGTCTAAATATCAGAATCATTTAAACTGGGTATTAGCTAAACAGATGTAAAAGAACCACAAGGGTTTATGTTCAAGTTTTTCTCCATTTAATCCAGCAAGGGAAAAAGTCTTTAATAAAAGCCCAGATTGCCTAGACAGGTAAGAAAATTGAGGAAATTGAATCTTATTTTCAAAATATATATGTTTTGAGAGGGAATTTATATTGAAAAAATAAGCCATGATATATTTTTTGATCCTGCTAGTAAATAATACAATAATTTAACTTCTATTTAAAAACTAGTGCTTCCATCAATTCTTAACTGAGCTTAAACAACCATTAACAGTAGTTCTTATTGACTGAGAAATAAATAGTGATTGATTGGTCTGACATAATTAATTGTTATTGTAGTTTTCAACAATTTAAGCTCATTTGCCCAGGCTACTCTTTCCACAATGTTTGAAAGATTTAATTAATACTGCTGTCAATAATTTAAATAGGCTTAAGATTCTGGGAATTACAGAGTAATCATTTTTATGGCCAAGTGGTCACAGAGAGATATATTGAAGTTTTAATTCTGAGAACATTTGATTTGTAAAGCAGTATATACCTTCCTAAGACAACTCTGTGAAGGTTTTACACTGCAACTGTAAAATTTATGCTGTTCATTATGTTTTGATGGAGCAGAGCTGGCACAGGTATTGTCCCCTCCATCTCTCCCTGTGTAGCTGCCCAGTTCCTTTATAAATTCTCTAGGGAACATACTTGATTTTTATCCATATATAAACTCATTCAATTATTTTCTTTTGATGAAGTAAGATAATAAATGAAAGGTGTGAATTCAAGTGGCATCTAGAAAAATATTTTACAAGGCAGTCAATGCTGTTTGATACTCTCCCTCCTCTTGATCCGGAGCGTTGTCCCTGTCCCTACATTTCCTTGGGTTTACAGTCTGTGGAGTACTGTAAGGAGATGCTCAAAACACAGTGGTGTGGAAGGTGAAGGCCCAAAAGAGGGGAAGTGAGAGATGGAGTGCCAGAGCAGAATTATGTAAGCCTCATCTTCATAGAAAGTCAGTGCTTGGAAAAGAAAACTCATTCTATAACTTGCTGTTCTATTCAAGTGCATGGGTTTTAATTTCAGGGAGGGGTTGCCCACACACTCCAGGTAAGGCACTCTCCTCTACACTGTCGCTCTGCCTTGGATGAGGAGTTGGCCCCAGACCCCACCTGCTCCTCCCACTGTTTACAGAAGCTGGTGAAGGAGAAAGAATATGAAAACCTTACTACTAAGCTTTTAGTGCAGGTACTCTGAAGTGACCCCTGCACCTACAATCCTTAAAAAAGCAGTTACCCCTCACTCCAAAAAAACCCATGTTTTGGGAACAGCTCCATGGCATCTTCAACTTCTTGAACATTTTATCCTTTTTATTCAACTGAAAATAGCCCCATAAGATTTCTGATTGACTGTATTAATGCTTTATTATGCAAGTTAGTTGGAAAACAAGTCATCAGGCATAAATCAGAAGCACATACTCTTGCACCACTTGCAGGCTCCTGTGTGACTTGACCTTCAGAGTTCTGATGGCTTCAAGAGCAGGCTGGAAAAGCTGTGCCCAGGAAGTCTGAGCAAAGCTGTGCTCCCCCAGAGGGAGGGAAAACACACCATAGATTGAATCGTAACACCATTAGCAGATGATTATTATTATTACTGTTACAAGGGCCATGTGTTAGGGATTCAGAGGTATTACATGTCTGATTGTAATTAATGAACTGCTCTACTCAGAGGATAGCCTGACTGCCAGGAGAACATATATCTGCTGTTACATTAACGTCACTAGGCAGCAGATGGATGATTTTTTTTTTTAAATGAAATTGAAGAAAGGAAATTGAACTTGGCAAAGTGTAATTGGGAAATGACGGTAGGTACCTGAGAAGGGCTGAAGCCTTTGAGCCATGGGAGATGCAAATAGCAGCAAAAGGGCAGAGGGGAGGAATGAGTTCAGAGTGGCAAGTGCAGGCACAGCTGTGCACTGCTGTCAGGGAAATGAAATGGAAACTAAAGCCAGAGCAAAAAATCCCGCTGCCTCAGTGAGGCATCTGCCACATCCCAGGATGTCCCATTTCATCACCATGACATCTCCCATCTCTCCCTCTATAAAAAGAAAGATGCACTTCCGTGTAGATCCCCTTGGTTCTCATCTGAAGGAGGAGGGCATGGGCCAGATGCTGCTTTCACTCATCTGTGAGCATTTGGCCAGGACAGAAGCTATTGCACCTGCCTTGTGTTTTGTCATGCTTTCAAGATGGATTCAGTCCATGACATCTTAGCATTGGATGGCTAGGGATGACTGAGGTCATGACTCCATTGACATATTTTACTTTGAAAAAGTATAATTATAAATATGATCAGAATAGTATTTGTGTAATTAGGAAAAAGTCTGCAATAACTCCAAAGGAAATGGGGCAAACAACTAGTTGAATACACAGTCAATTCAGACTAATGCCATACTCCTATATCTGCCTCCAGAATGGGCAGAATTTAATCTAAACACAAACTTTTAGAGGCCTGAATGGCATAATTTAAAAATATTTTTTGTTTCTCACTTTTTACCATGCTCACTGTTCCAATATTTGAATTTTAACATGAAATGTTAATACTGCACCAGTTTCATTTTTGCCCTTGTAGTTTATCATGCCATCCCCACTAAACATGTTAAATAATTTGCTACTATATTTTGTTTAAGCCAAGACATCCATGCAGCCCTTTTTGATAAAATAACTCTGGGCAATAACTTTGTTAGATTTGTTTCAGCACTTGCAATTCCAATGCTTGCCTGTCTACAACCTTCTTTTTTTCAGATTTTCATTAATTTAATGATATAAGTTAAAAGCACAGTTTCAGACTTCATGATCAGCTATTTGGTGCCACTGAGATGAACGGATTGATTATAAGTCAGAAGTATTAACATGAGGCATGAACAGTTCATCAAGATGAACTGTGGGAAGCCTACCTTACTGTGCAGTCCAGCTTCTAGAAGAAATTCTGGAGAGTTTCCAGTGTCCAAACACCATCACACACCATCTCCTCATGTACTGCAGAGTGCCATCCCTAGTGGTGCCACCTACTTTACCCGATGAGTTATTTCTCCTACTACAGCCTCTCCTTTATACCACAGCTTTGATTATTGAAACCACCTATTTCAGTTTGGTTAAAGAAATTGTATCCTCCCAAAACACACCTAAAATTGAAGTACAGGCTCCAATCCTAAAAGAATTGTAAGCACCTGGAATTCATGGTGCACTGAACCCCCCAGCACTGACCTGTAAGCTTTCTGGGTTATCCATAAAATTGCGTCTCCAGCATATGATCATTCAGGACAATGGGATCCCAACCACAAGACAACTTCATAGATCACAAGATTACAGCCTTCATGAACTCACTTAGGTTCCTACACACTGTAATTTTCTTTCTGTATATGCCACTGGCTGTGGTTACTTTCACATCACATCGGGTGTTAGCCTCGTAGCCCACTGACCTACAACCCAGCAGCTGATGCTTGCCTGCAGAATGGCCCTCTGGGACCAGCCCCCCTGAGTGTGTGTCAGGGCTGGTGCCAGGGAGGCACAGCCCATGCTGCTGAGGAAAACGTGTTTGCTTTACTGCCACTTACCCGTGGAAAACATGTGCTCCTGAACGTTCTGTTTTAATGGCTGTTGTTACCATGGATGCAAATGCAAATCTGTTTTTACACTTAATACGCTGTGTGGCAGCAAGATCCAGTGGAAGATCCCTGCAGATGTAAACACCTACATGCACAGTGACCTACTTACATCTGGGTTTGCACGTAGCCATGTAGAGGATGTATAAATGCTGTATTTAAAGCCCTGAATTTAAAACAATTTTCAGGCAGTCCCTGGCAGACTGAGTAGAAATGATGCTCGGTATCCATTCATCCAAATTTTATGTAGTTTTGAATTTTCTTTTAAATTCCAAAGTCTTAGATTGTGCCAAGGAGTTGCCATTACATTGATTTAATCAGAGAATTCTGGTTTAGATTTGATGACATTGGTAGCAGCCCACATTTTGAGTGGATAACATCTACAATTCAGTGCCATGATGTTCAAACATTTCCAGTGATTTCTAGACACAAAATAAATTCAAGGACTTACATACATTGAATGCATTCTGTTTATTTGAGAAGGAAGATCTCATACGAGTGCCTGTTATGGAAGGCATCTCTTATCATGTACAATAAAATCAACCATTGCTTCCAGCAGAATACAAAAATACACATCTCAGTGACTTCCATACAATAATAAATATGTAATCATGCATCCAACAATAAAAAGGCACAGAAAACTGGTCACTTAGTAGTCATAAAAATTACTAACTATATTAACAAAGCCACCCAAATTATCTGTACAAGGAAATGTAACAATATATTCCAAAGGTGAAAACACATAAAACATCTTTAAAATAGTATATGCAATAAATACCTCAATTGTTTTATATATTAAAAATAAAACTGTGCCATTGTAAACAGTATGTAAACAAACAAAATTCACTGTTCCTTACCATTATTACAAGTAAATAAAGCCAAAAGTTACACCCCTGCTCTGTTAAATATACTTCATTGGCAAGTTTTGTCAGGCTGTTTAAAGTTTTACTCTTTTCTGCAGCAAACAGAGCCTGCTATGTGTGTAATTCTAAGTATTAGAGCAATTGCTAAGCTTTAAAACCGACTGCCCAGGACATAGTAGGTCATCAAAGAGAACTGGAGCTAGGAAAAGCAATTCTTGCAGTGTTACGGACAGAAGTCATTTATTTTCACTACATATGATAGTATGGGTAAAACTCAGCAGTTTACATAACACTGCTCTCCTACAGGACTCAAGGGGGCTGTACAGAGGTGGTGAGCATCCCTATTCCCTTGGGCGGAGAAAGTGAGGCACTCAAAGGTTAACTATGCTGCCCCCAGTCTTACACCAGCTCCACTGGCAGGAAACCAAAGGCAGAATCCAGACCTTCAGCCATTTCCTCCTCATTTCCTCAGCTATCACATGGCCTTGCAGACAAATAAAGTTGTGTCCTGAACTCCAGCCCTGATTACAATGGCAGAAACCCAACCATCACGCAAAAGGAAAGGTGTCTGCTGGCTTGGCACCCGTCTGCCCCCAGTGACAACCATGGAGCCTTGCCACCAAGTGAAGCAGAGCACCACAGGAGCTTTTCCCCCACTAATCTGTGATCAGAGCCACATTAGCAGACTAACGAGCCCAGACAGAGCCCTGTGTATCCTGCACAAGCCTACTGATTGCCTCAAATGTCTATTCTTTTGAGGTCTGTTTCTACAGCCAACTCCTAGAAAATTCAACCAAAGTGCAAACCTCCTGCCCTATTAGCAAGGGGAAGGATAGGAATCTGAATATGATCCTTTCTTAAACAAAATTATAAGAAAAGATTCCTGGAAGTGGTGGGCATTTGCACAGATGTCTTCAGAAAGGGCCTTGTGAAGGAAGGTGTCTGCTATGTTATTTCTTCAGCTTTTGATAACCTTGACATAACTACCTCATTTTACAAGTCCCGCTATCCCTGGGATGACTATCTATGATAAATATAAACTTACCTGTTCCCAACATATGTATTTCAAAGTGCACGACAGCTCTTATTTGAAAATGGTATTTTAGCCTTAGATGAAGAAATTAGGATACATCTACTTAGCTGTTTCACAGCCATATGGTTTTTTTACAGGAAGAATACACTTTGAGCATATGTAATTAAAAGATACCCTGGAAAGGGATTTAGGAAGCGCTGCATTTATGGTATATTTCCTCCTTGTGCTATTAAAGAACTGTTCCTTCTGCCTCTAGACAAGTGATTTCTCTAATGTCAAGCAGCTGTCTGACTTGCCTTACCACTTAACATTTTCGTAATTTTAATTGATCCATGGAATATAAAAAGTCATTCAACACACTGACTCTGAAGATACTTCCATGTCTTGATGAGAAGCTTAAAGCCACATACTTACTATATAACATTTTTTCCCCAATAAGGTACTTTTGGATAAGGTACTTCAAATGTCTCATACCAGATCTGCAGAGACAGGTGAGCTGCATGAGATCAGTAGGTACAGAAACATACAGGACTACTTTTTATTTATCAATGAATATTTCTTCAAATTCACCTGCCACATTGCATTCCTTCTTTGTGAGAGGAGAGAGGCATGAAAGGTGATCTCTTTTTTAGATTATTCTGTATTAAATCTTACAAAAGTTATTTTAGAAGATATTAGACATATTGAAGGACCAGATCAATGAAAAATTCTGTACAGTCTCTGAGGCATATATTCCCACCTGTGTTGTAGTTTGCAGGTTCCATAGAAAAATCCAAATAGAAACTGCAGATTTCACATTGGGAAAAAATAAATACATTTCACTCATTAAAAAAAAATTATCACAGTAGGAAAATAGCCAGTAAACAATAGATTCAGAGGGGTTTAATCTTGGCCCCCAGAGATCAATGGGAGTTTTGCCAAGGACTTCAAAAAAGCCAAAATTTCACCCAGAATCATATACAATTCTTTAGCTGACAACAATCATAAACATCCTTCCACCCCATTGTATAAGTTAAATATTAATAAGCATCTGTAAACATCCTGCAATTTATCTGATATAAAAAATACTATAATAAAAACAATGCAGCATCTCAAGCACTGTATAGTTTTAAGGTTTTTTTGGCTCTACACACAAGTTGGCATTGTTATATTGGGCAAAACCAGGGTATGTATATACATCTCTATGTACAGGTGTGCTCTCACATAAACACTATGAACTAGGTACTACATATCTACACACATCCACACAAATACTGGCAAGAGAATGACATTCATAGGTATGGCACATAAAAGCCTACCCATGATCAATTTGAGGATCTCTCTTATGTGAGGAGCATTTTCTTTGCAAGAAAATCATCTGTAGGCTTAAATGTAAATGCTGTAAATGAAATACTAGAACAATCTCCAAGGGGCTAAAGTACTGTTTAAAGCACAGCATATGCCTAAGTCCTAAAATATTTATATGATTGCAAAGATGACGGACTTTCTTGTGGAATGAACAGGAAGAAGAGGAAACAAAGGGCAGAAACTACGGAGTACACACTAGTTTTTACCTAAACCCATGCAAACCATGTTAGATGTTTTCATTTTCAATTGAACATAGGTTTGGATTGAGTGGAAAACATGTGTTTTAGCTCTTTGCTGCAAACTGCCATTTAGACCCAAAAATATGAGTTATGCAGAGAACTAGACAGTGTCACATTTCTGCAACGCTTCCATGTGTAGTTCATGCATCCACTCATGCATGTAAGTGGATGTTACTACAGAATTAACTAACAGCTGTACTGGAATACCAGTCTAAGTTACAAGCCTGGCTAATGACAGGAACCAGCCATGCTGGGCTGGGATCCTCTCAGAACTTTTGAAATACCTTCGGATGAAATTTACCTTTCTTAAATGCCAGAATATACATTAAAAATACATTAAAGCAATTCCATAGTGCTCAATATTTGAAGATACCTGCTCTAGACAGACAGAAGTGACACTGAGAAGTTTTGTTAGTAGTGACTGATAGGTTTGATGTCACCATGAATTAAGAGAAGAAGCTGCTAATATTATATGATGTTAAATTATTTGTGTGTGATGACAGCAACAAAGAAGAACCAGAGGGAAGGGGCAGAGATCAGGCCCCTTTCACCCTTCAGGAGCATCTCAACAGCTTGTACTCCTTATGTACAAATCCCATCTATTGCATGTCTCATCGCCACTGTGAATATCACCTTGCTATTTGATGATCCCATCGAAATACAAGCATATCAAATTCCTGACGTAACTGGCAGCTCTAGGGAGGTGCCTAAAAGAGTTTCAGCTCTTTTAGGATTCAAAGAATATGATGTAAAAAGGTGGCTAATGAAACAAATTATTTCAGGACAGGTTCACAAGCTGTGCTCCTTGAATGGGAAAAATGGTAATTTTTGTCGAATATGGACAACTGTGTTTTTCAAGGTACCCAAGTTAAGGAGACATAAAACCAAGACAGAAAGTACAGACACCACAAGTGACAGATGCCTGTAGAAAATCCTCTGGAATGTGGCTAGGCACACTGTCCAAATGCCTGTTTCAATGTATAGACATGGCATCTTGTGAGAAGAGTGCTACTAGGAACCTTCACAGTGAGAATCTGCATGCCTTTGTCCTCCTTGTAAACCTTCCTAAGGTATCCAACTAGCAAATCTTGTATCCTTGAAATTCTCATTAAAAGCTTTTGGGTCCTACTGTTCAGCACACATGCTCTCCCCATCCCTGAAAGGCAAGACCAAGCAGCTTTGAATGGCTTTCCTCAATCTCCCCATTCACAAAACAATTGACCACGACTGCAAAGAGAATCAGTCCCAAACAGAGCTTACTTCAACTAACACCAGGAGAAAAACAGTTGTATCTCTAACTCTTTCCCTGTTAATGACACTGTCAGGTTATTAAACTGGTTTTTATCCAATTAATGATTTAGTTTAAACAATTTGGGACTTAAAATGCTATTCCCTTTAAAAAGTCATAGAAGGGATTTGGGGCACTGTGGAGAATTTATTTTTGGCTTTACACACAGTTTCCATAATGAAAACAAACCATCCAATTTTACTTTTAGTTCATTTCTTCCTGTTCCCACCATCCAGTTCACACATTCTTGTCTACCTGGATCAAACACAGCTCCCTAAAATAGTTGTTTCCAATGAATTTGGAAAAAGATAGTTGCAAATTACTTAAAATTTTGTACCAAATTGCATTTATATTCAGTAGCTTTTCAATCCTAGTCTAACACTAGTCTTTGAATAATACTACAAACTATATTTTTCCAAAGTATTTGTTCCACAGAATAAAATATTTACTGGCCATTTGGATATTGTCCTGCTAATAGCTACCATAATATTCAGTACTTGCAATGTCTTACACAGCTGGTAGAGTTAGCCAAAACACTTCTCTTTCCAAGGACATTCTGGTAGCTTGTGTTAACTGTTAGATAAAGCTTCCAGAAGGAACTGTAAAAATATAATTTAAAATATTTCAAATTGGCTAGGCTAGGCTTTGGAGCCTGAAGTCTTGGTGTATCTTTTCCTCCCTGACCCTACAACTTTTTCCTGGTCTGCCCATCCAGCTCTTCTGAACAGAAACCATGGAGAGACATGCAAAGGTCTCATCTTGCCAGAAGCTGGGAGCTCATCCAGACACAGGAGCTGGGAAGCAACATAAAAACATTAAAAAAGGCATGACTGGTGTTAAACATAAATGAGGCACCAGCTTCTTCTGCCTCACTAATACAAGCAATAGGTTATAGGAACTCAAAATCCCATCAGAGAGTTCATCAAGTTTTTGTCAACTGGGGAACAAGTCTTTAATTATTTAAAACAGATGTTTGTAATTCTACCACGTGCACATATGAATTTTCTGCTGAGTGTTCTGAAGGTGATAGATCTTTAACCACTACAGCTAAATTGATTAAAATTTGTCCAGAAATACTCTTGGGTATGTATTCATCAGCATTTTGCTTCTTTGCAAAAGTGTTAACAATGCTAATATTTTTTTTAATTTACATATGACAAGGGGATGATATTTTAAGATTAATTCTATGCATTGAAAAAAACCACAAACCTTTCAAAATTATTTTTTTCAGTTAAAGTATTGAGGATGATCCCTATTAAACCTACAGAAGCTGCTATGAATTTTGGTATTAGCTCCAACTGGCTACAGAAATAGTCCTCTAAAGGTCTCCAGAGGCTTCCAAATGAATTATAATTTCTGAGAAACACACTGGTCTTCTGTATGGCTGAAACAAACATTTCAAGTACATAAGCTAACACTTAACAGAGCTATGAAATGCAAATTCTACTAATGCAACAGTAGTAGAAAACAAATAGAAAATCTTTTTTCTTTTTGTAAAAAAGATCCATTCCAAATTATACTCTAGATATAAATACAGAAATTTATACAACCAGTAAAGAATTTATATTGACAATTACCAAATGATGCTTTATCAATCCTGCTGATGCTACTATTCATCTCTGAAGAGAAAGCAGAGATATTTTAAGTCCTGTCCAAAGCTTAAATACGGTCCAAGCTCCTCAGCTTCCTCAAGTCATCAAAAACTTGTTCCTCAAGACAGCAACACAGTCATGTACAGTTCTGGCAAACATTACATCCTCGCAGTTAGAATAAGCATCATCAAACCTTGATGATACAAAAATCATACCACAAAACATACAATCCACAAACATACATGAAAACAGAATAAAAAATACAGGATAGCCTGTGTTATAAATGTATACAGGATGCTGCAGTTGAGAGGTACTTAAGTTATTGGGGTGAAAAAATAAATTTAAAATTACTTCTTTAATTTTATTTTCTGTGGCTCTCGTTTACTCATACAAGTGACAAGATGATTTCCTGGTTGTAAGATAAACAAATTGCTCCAGCTGTTATCCTCAATGAGATACATTCCTTGTGACTTTACCTTCCACAAAGACTTCTTGCACTGCTAATTATTAATTACCAGAACTGTTGAACTCATAGGCAAGAACTTAATATTTAGGGGCACACAGAGAGCGCTGCAGAAATAGCTGTAAACACTACTAATGCAATCACTAACAGGAAGCATCAAGCAAAATGGAATCACTATGGGGGGTTTTGTCTTGCAAGTACATTATTACATCTGTTTTTAAAGTAGAACTATGGAACGTCCTCTCATATTGGCTTTATATATTAATTTTCCATTACATGTGGAAAGGTCTCCTGCTAGTCTTCCTGAAATGAAGACCACATGCACTGAAAAACACTCATAATTTTACCCTTGAAGTAATGCTCATTATCAAGACTTTATGAAATATTCATTAATAGCATGAGCAAGTTCAATTAAAAAGTAAAATTGGCAGGTTATCTATTTCTCTACAAAAAGCATGGGAAAATATAAAATTGACATTTATGAAGGAAAAAAAATCAATGCCTCTCCTTTGAATTACAGTGATGCAGCATTGCAGTATTAATTATTTTGGGCAGGGATGGAGAGATAAAGATGATTTCTATTTTTTATTTACAGGACCAAGCATATTAATTCTAGTCCCAAAATAAGATGTACTGGAATGAAATAGTCTGGGAGGGTTTTTGATAATATGCTTTACACTTTACTGTTCTTCTAAGTTCAAAGCATTTTTCTTCGAAAGAAGGAGACATTCAGGAGAAAAGAATAGTGTTTAAGGGGAGAGACATAAAAATGTATCAAAGAAAATTTTCCCTCGCCATCTTATAAAAAATTGATTTCAGAATCTTCTTTTCTTTGAAGTATTGGAAAACATCCCCAACACCTAAAACCATGAGTTGTCTTGATTTCATTCAGTTTCCAAAAAGAAGTCATGAGGCTTTATAAAGACAAAACTTGCATGACCCAAATGAGAGGTTGCTACAGCAATCAAATCAGTGAACTGAGAAAATCCTATTTGAAAATGACAAAACAGCAACTTATATTTAGCAACGTGCTGCAATTTTAAAACATGCACCTCTTGTGTTCCTCTCTCTGAGGTGGAGAGCTTTTCAACTACACGAATACCAGCCACTACAAAAAAATGCAGATTACTCTGCACTCCCTTCAGGATTTAATGTATACTGACCACAGAAATCGCATGTATTTGACTGGGGAGGAAAAATTTAATCCAGTAAAGTTTGTATAGTTTGCTTGATAAATCTAGCATGCTGAATCAGGCTCCACAGGATCTTGTTTTCTAAAAAGCTAAGTACTTTTAGGGATGTGTTTACCTTGGTTTTGTTAAGATATTGGGATGTGTGCTTTGAAGCCCTTTTTTACAGCAGGATTAAATTAGGGAGAACACAGATTGTTTTAAAAAAATGTACTTAGTTCTAGGAGCTGGGACTTTTACAGCAGTAAGGAAAAAACCCAGTACTTAAGAGTAACCATGAGAGAGTAAAACTGTGTTCAGGTCTTCGAAAAAGCCACATCACTTAAACACAGCTACAACCCATGACCTCCAGGGAGAACCCCTGTAAAAATATTTTGAGCCTCCTTGTCAGATGTATTTGCATTTCATAGACAACACTAGTCTAAGGCATAGAGTTGCATAAAATTTGCTCTCCTGGGCATCTAATAAATACAGCATAAATGATACTTACAGTTTTGTTTTTTTCTATTCACATGTTTAAAAAAACTGCTTAGGAGAATCAAAGTTAAATTCTTTGGTGGTCATTTAGAAAAATGAACATTGATCAGTTGTCCTATACTGAGGTAATTTGAGGAGTGCCATAAGAAAGCTGTGTTACAAACAAAATTTTCCCATTTTTCCCTGCCCAAAAGCAGCTCCCATTTTTCAATACACTCAGTGTAGACCTCTACAGTGACTTGAAGAGACCTGGTGCCATAGCCCATCTTAATGCATTACATACAGCAAGGCTGAAAGTTGTAAAGAGATTGTATCTTACAATCGGGAAAGCAAAGAAAGTTCTGCTATGTATTATGTCCTTGAATAGACCAGAAGATTAGCTATGTTGTCTACTGTATGTCAATATGCTAAGATGCTGCCACATGTTAAAATGCAGTGTAGCTTATTGAGAAACAAAAGAGAAAAGGAAATAATGCTTACAAAGACTTGGCAGATGTCACCTGAACGTCACTAAAGGGGTGAATGTCAAGTACATTAAAATAAAACCAAAACCAACAAGCTTTCCATTGTTTGCCTAACTTTCCATTTTTTTCATATGCTTTTCATACAACAGCCTGAAAGTCATATCATTTGGCAAATGCATTTTGGTTTGTTCTTCATGCAAAACCTAACAGAATATAGCCTTTTACTTTTACTTTTGTTTACCAGAATAATCATTATGTACACAGAACTCCCAGAGTGGTGCCTGTTGAACCTACAGCAGCAAGAACACAAAGAACTACAATAAGATAAAAATTAAGCCTATTTTGATTATTTTTTCTTTTTTCTCCAATAAAACGATGAGTATAATAGATTTTACTTTCCAAGGGATGAGTCCCATCTACTTGCCATGGATCAACTCTGGTCATATGCATGAGAAATGGAGGGCAAAACCAGGATGCAGTACTTGACATTGGCCCCTTTATACAAGAAAATACGTTTTGGTAAAAACAAATGAAACTTTACTCTTCTGCCCATGAGTGAAACATAAATAGATGTTAAGATACTCTTTAACATGCAAGAAACATCAAAGCTACTTGATTAGGTGAAAGTCAAGTGTTCCTCGTGCTGTAATGCCACAATTGCTAGAAACAGCAAGGAGAGAGCAATTCTGTGCAAGTTTTCTGGCAGGTGGTGCAAAGTCATCTAATCTCAGACATTTAGGTAGAATTTTTTTTGTAGATATCTAAATTTATTTTCCAGCTATATTAATACTTTTGTGAAAAGTTAACCAGGAAATAAGATTATGAACCTGTTTCATTTAAGTAAAGTGTAAATAACCTTACAAACACTGGTCTAGAGCAATATCTAAACAACGATGGTTTTAATTTTTTTAACCTGTTTACACTCATGGATTACTCTCTTGCATGATTCATCTTAGCATGCATAGCCTAAAACCTTATAATCTGGTTTTTTTTATTTTTATGGTCTGCTGATGGTGGAGTGCTGTCAAGAAACAAATTGATACCTTTTTAAAGAAATGCACATAGATGCATTTTTAAATTAATAGTTAATTAGCAACAAGTAAAAGTCTACCCCACAAAAATCAAATCAGCTGCTACATTTTAAATATCTTCTTATGTATGATAAATAAAATTAAATTTTCAAGAAAATTTCATTAATATTTAAACCTGTTTTTGAACAATAGAATAAATAAAACCATTAGTGCCTACAAGTTCAAATATGCTACAAATGTTTAAGATAACTGAATAACTACATTAAAATGCACCAGAGAAAATTCTTTACCATTTTCCATGCAGGAAGCCAATTGATATTTTTGTGAGGTACCGGTCTTTCAAAAATTCTCATAAGTTAGTTACCTGATAAACCTTCTGTACATGATATATTTAAAAATCTAACTGTACAGTGTTTCAATCATATATAATCTGCTGAATATGGCACAAATGCTAAGTTTCCACACCCACACACCCTTTGCCGTAGAACACATTTTAGGCATAACACAACACTGAAGAATAGAAAAGTGCCTGAAATTGGAGGGAAAAAAAAAAGACACTCAAGTAGCAATAAATTAAATCTCATTCAAACCGATAAAAAAGTTGTTCAAGTGTTTAAAGTATCAGATGTGTCATGCAACAGAACAACAGACAATTCAGGCAGGCACACCATGCATTATAGTTTGCATTCATGGTATCACGAGGTATCTCTCCCCTCTTCTGCATGGCCAGCGAGTGCTGGATACCTGCGGCACTGCCAGGCTCACGTGTTGAACCTTCCAAACCTCCTGGTCTCCTGCACAGGAGGTTTTACAGAGCTACGCCTCGGAAGGAAAACCAGATGACCTCATGCTGTACAGTGGCATCTTGCTGCAGCATAAAGAGAGGCATACTGAGCTGCATGTAAGCAAAGCAGTCATTCCTTGATTATATTTTCCAGTCAGTGCATTTCACCATCAATTTACCAAACTGGGCTTATCCGAACTGGCCAATTTGCACACCAAGAAAACATCTTCGCAGAACATATCACCTTTTCCTTTTTGTTTTGGCACAAATCCTTTTGTACTCTTGCTGCAAGTTCTTCACCACACAAGAATTCAGAGATGCTAGCCTGTACAAACACCAGTGCTTATTCTTCCATAAACTACAAGGACAGCCAAGTGCCTGCAACAGCTTTGCTTCTCCAGCAACTTTCTCTTCTCTCTTTAAGAAAAGCACCAGCATAATTACACTTCAGACAAAGGGGTGTTCTTGCTGAGCTCTTTAATTCCCTGGAGAATTCGCTTCATATGACCCACTTTCGTTATCCCCAGGTCCTACAGAAAATTTAAAAATAGGAAAAGGGAAAAAAGAGAAGAAGAAAAAGAAGGAAGTTTACTTTAAAAACGGGAAAAAGAAACCCCATTGATTATGACCTATCCATGCAACAGATGTCTAGAAATGTGCTCACTGCAATCAACAGTAACCAGGAAGTGTTAACAAGAGTTTCTTTACAGAAAGACTGCTTAGAGCATACAATGAATCCCTCTCTGTCTGGCAGACAAAAAATTACTTACCTGCAACAGTCACAACCCAGGGCACTTCAACATACCTCAAAACCATCTTTGGCTTGACTTATAAATACAAACACCTTTCACAATTTCTGGCAAAATAAAGAGAACAATCTCCCCCTCCTCTCTAACACAGCAACCAAATGCTTGGTAGAATGGGATGGATTAGAACTTCTGTCCATCAATGTCACTTGATATGAGGCCCTATGATGCCTGCTTTAATCAACAAACATATATCCCTAGTTTCTCAAGGGAAAGTGGATGTAGTGGCTACAGGCATGTAGGACAACTTCCCTTTAGAGAGCAATAGAAAGAGTAAGCCTTTGTTTTTCATTCCAAAAAGGTTACATCTCCTAGCATGGATGTTCCTGATTAGAGAGCTGGAAGAAAAATTCTCAGAAACATGATAGTCATATCCCAAAGGAAATGTAAAAAGCACAAGAGTAAATCTCCTTGTAGCCCGTAAATCATTTACATCAGCTGAAATGTTTCTATTACTGGTTTCCAGACCCGTCTCTGTATGCAACAACAGACAAGAATTTTTTGTAGCAAACTTCTTCCAGTATTAGTAATAGCTTTAGCAGCATCCTTTTTCAATTTTGGCTGTTCCAATGATCAGAGAAACAGAATGGGATGCCCAGCTGTGCTAACGATCTCCCATCACACTAATGAATTTTCAGCTCTGTCTGGTGGAAATCTGCTTCCCTTATCTGTAAAACTCAGCTATGAAAAAGTCTTTAAAATCCATGTTTTAGTGGTGTTGAGCAATCAGCAGAGTCAAACACTAGTTATTTGTAGAATAAACCTTACATAAATAGATTGTGGTTAAATAACTAAAAAAAATTAGAAAAGTTTCACTGTTTTTCTGAAATACAAGTAATTTCATTTTAATTGGAAGATTTTTCCATTACAGAGACATTAAAAAGAAGAGAGTGTAATTAGGCAGCTCAAAATTTTTTTTCTCATCAAGAGTGGAAAATGAAACCATATATATTATTCTCTATGTACTCTACACAAAGACTGTATCTACATTTTTACAGCCACAGAGACCTCAGAAAAATCTGTATTCTATATCACTCTAAAATGTTAGCATGCATTTAATTTTGGAAGAAAGAGGTGGTAAAATGGGCATGAATTAATTATTTTATTATAAAGGTAGCACAGCCAAGATTAAACTGATGGTTTAATTTTCACAGAGTCAAGACTGAATTCTAGTTATGTTGGAGAGAAAAAATATTTGATTGTTTCTTCAGTTGAAAACTATAAATAGATAGTCATCCTTTACAGGACTTTGCCACAAAGGTGTCATTATTAAGGAGTTCAATTTGTTCATAAAAGTTCCCAAAGCAAGTGTTATTCATAAACTACCTGGAAAAAACCTCATGATTTTCCACATCACATAAATTTATATTTTATTTTCACTACAAGTAATCTCACTTATAAACAAATGTAGTACTAATTTTTAATTTAAGATCATTAATGTAGGTAGTAGTCAAATTCATCCTAAAATGACAGTAATATTTATAATTTTACATTTCTGTAATATTGTCCTTTTTATTTTGAATTTAATTCTCAAGTGAATCAAAAAAACCCACACATGACTACTGAAACTAATGAAATACCCTAGTTGCTACATGGAAGAAATTCTGCATAAGGGAAAACCCATAAGGATACTTTCCAAACCACAACAAACCACACAATTTAAAGGTTAAGAACTTACAAAATCTTCAGAACAAATATATTTTCATGAGTAGAACTTCTGTTGGATTAGCAATATAGTGAGATGTTGCCAGAGTTCAAAATCAGAAGGAAGAAATATATTATGAAATTCAAAAAAAACTCAGACACTTTTCCCACCAGCCTTTGTAAAGCATTTCACAACACCTTTGATTCAGAGGCAAGGGATTTTGGGTTTATTTATTTTCCAGCTGAAGTTGCTGTAATGCATATCAGAACAGCAAGTCTCAAGTGCCTCATCAAAAATTTTGGGGACCCCTTTCTGCTATACTTCCAAGGGGAAAAAAACCCAGCCAAAAACTCAGAATTTTTATGCTTTTATAATACTTTTCAGTTTGGTGAAAACTAGAATTTATACAGTCATGACACTAGATGCTATTTGGTATCCCCAGTTTAGTGCTCATGCAGAACAGTTTGCTGAAATTTACTCATCTCAGACTAAAAGGATTTGCTACATCAGCATATCATGCATCATTCAAAGAATGAGAGCCTCAAAGATTTCTGTATATTTGTGCATGAGACATAATCTGTTCATATCTAATTGGTATATAGTTAACAAAAACTCAATTTGACTAAACTACAGGTTTGAAGAAGAAACTCTAGCTAGAGTCTGAAGAAAAAAAAATAGCTTTTCTTTTTTCCCAGATATGGCCTTAGAACTACAGCAACCCCTCTCCTCCTGCGCTCCCCAATCACTGTACCACCTCCTGGCCAAATGTACCACCACTAGCAAACAATTTATATAAGAACTCCTTAATAATAACACCTTCTAAATGTGAAATCTACCCTACTTGCATCCCCAGGGAAAAAGGTCATTTAGCATGTCTGAAATCTAACAAATCTTACAAAACTTTTTCCATAAAATAACTTTTTCAAAACATGGTATTGTAAAACAGAGGGACGAAGTGTCACAGTCCTTGTCACAGATTTTACTTTGACTGGCACTGCTTATCAAGTTGATCTGTGGCATGGAAAGTCTTTCTCCAAGGAAACCAACGCTTTAGGATCTTTAAGGAGACATCGTTCCCTCGTCCTACCAAATGTGTTGCAGTTCTGATTATGACTAAGCTGCCTGCATAGGAACATGGTTATCAGTGCTAAGAATGCCAATATTTATTTCAGAAAAATCAGTCTAGTTTTCAGTAAGTTTGCTTGTAAAATAAGGTTAAAAAAAAGTCACAACGATGCCTTCTTTCTACAGTTTCTCCAGAACAATACACAATTTACTGCCCAGCCATTCATCAAGCAAAAGAAAATCATATGAGTGTAAATTTCTAAGATCCCCCTAAATGAAATCAGGCATAAGAGGCTGGAGAAAGAACATTACTGCAAGGACTGGGTGGAAGGAGGTATTGTGGTTCTTCATTTGCTAGCTGCCACACAGAGCTCCTTGAGAATGGGATCCACAAGCTATGCAGATATACAGTTAGAGGTGCCCAATTCTTCTGTCAGCATATCAATCTGTTCCAGCGATGCGTGAAAAGAGTGTTTCATCAAATCCTTCTCCATACTGCTTTTTATCTCTACTTTTGACCACAGAAAGAAAGGTGGGCTCAGAGGATTCAATTAAAACAGGCAGCAATTTTTCCTGCTGCAGACATGAAAGGTAATAGAGGTAAATGTATTGCACATGAGTTAGGAGCGCACGAATCAATGGGGATCTCATTTAGCTTGTCAGGAAGCACAGGCCTTGCAGTGGAAGAGAGGCTGCAGACAGATTATAGCTTGCAAGAGCACTGAAGGCTCATCTGCACACCTCGATAGCCAAAGGGAGGAAATATCCACAGGGCAGCTTGTGACGTGTTCCTCATTTCCCAATACCACATGGCACATTTTGACACCAATTCAGGTCGCTGAAGAAAACTGCATGCTGCCTGAGCCATCCTTAATTGGCTCCCTGCAGAGACCCTACCCTGTAATCAGCAGGATGAGCACTAAACTCTGCTATTTAAGTTCAGTGCTGTTACACAGAATGCAAGCCATGCCTGGCCAAAAACCTGGCCTAGCTTATGAAGGGCACTGATTTGGAAGCTCTCAGCATCTGCTAATGAGCACATGGGGCGATTCTGGAGCGAGATTTTGGTTAGCTCAGGGCATGCCCTTGGCAACTTGTGTAGAGCAGCTCCTCATCCTACGTGTCACCAGGCAGCACTGCATAGAGGAGACAGTAGGCTCTCTGCAGGCCCTCCAAGACAAGCCTTTAGATATTTCATGGCAGAGACCTTTGTGATGGGATTTTATATACACCAAACCAACATGAGCCCTAGCAACAGGGATAACGGGTTGATAATTGCCCTGCTGCAGATATTTACTTGGTTAAAGTGCCAGTCCACTGGGCATGCAGTCAAATTGGTACTCATGAGAAATAAGGCATGGCCAGAAGCCATGTCCAGTTTAACGCTGATCTTACCCACCATAATTTATTCCAACAAGTTGGACTTTTAAAATTTTCTTAACATTTTAGCAAACCTATGCATTGTGTGATGCTGAGTTTCTCAGTTGAATTTTAAGTTCATTCACAACAGGCACTTGCAACATCCATCACTGGAACACTATGGTGGATTGCTTGGACAGTCTTCTATTTCTAAAGTTTTCTAAGTTTTAAAGTTTTTTTTTTAAACTGTCCCTCCTTGTCAGAAACTATCCTGAAAGAAAGGAATTTAACTTCCATGGAAAGAAGCTCAGGCAATCTAATACCAAAGAGTAAAATAATACACAACAGCCAAACAGATTATCTCAAACACAGCTATTTTCAGCAGCTGCTTTCTATTGCAACAGTCACACAATGTAAGCACTACCTTATAACATCAGGATTTCACACAATATAAAAAACTTTACATAAAATAACACATTTGTCTGAAAATATAGTCTCTACCTGGAGACTACTGCACTGTGGCTAGAACAATGACTTGCACTCTAAATGTAAATGTTTGCAATTTATACAATATCCTATTTCCTCCCTTATGTGCTAAAAGCAGTTGCAAAACCCATTACCAAGAACTCATTACTACCGAGTTCCTGGAAAAAGTCATTTAATGAATCCCCAAAGATATAACCACTATTACATGTAATGGATGCACTTAAGTCATTCCTGAAAAGGACCAGCAAGCTCACATAACAGCCTCAAACTGCTGGATAACGTTTATCCCTGCAAAATTTATCTATCTGACCTCAGAGGAAAAAGGTTTTACAATTTTGAGTCAAAACAAAATACTCTTTTTAAAAAATCTATACAGCCAAAATCGAAGGTTGGTCACTGATGAGAAAAACTATTTTGACACACGAACACCAATGCCATGTAAGCCAAATACTGCAGTTTATTAAGCTGCTTATCTCTCTGACACCCACTATGTCCAATATATACACAACAAATCATGTGGAGCGGATCAGCCCCTGCAGGAGATAGATTCAAAATAATTACAACCACCATCAACTGATCCGTACTGATCATGTTTAATGGAAACAGTGAACTCTTGAAGAAAACACTGTATTACACAGATGCCAGTAAGATATCAAATGCTACTCCTATGCCTTCTGACATAAACTGCATCTACTGCATCATATCATTCTGCATAAGGTGGGGGAAAAAAATAAAGAAATTTTGGATAATACAGATATTCTCAGTTGTGAGTTCAAGTCAGCACTTCAGAAAGTCAGGCCCAAGGACAGCGCATATTAGTTTATTGCATATTTGCACAGTGTAAGCCAAGCTACAAGCAATGACAGGTGCAGGGAAAGAAGAAAAGTTGGTTGTTGTTTTGTCAAAGAAAATGGTCAATAGCAGAAAAGTAGCACAAAGGAAATACCTTAAGATCTCGCCTTTCCAGATGTAAAAGCTCAGAGCCTCGGATGTCATGGCTGATGAAGATTTCTTTGTACTCTCCCAAACTGAGCAGATCCAGCCAAGCAGCAACTTCATCTGTGCCCCATTTTTGAACTACCAAAGTTAAGAGCAAAACCCCCTTAATTTCTACATGCTCAAACGCATCACAAGCAAAGGTTAGGCCAAAGAGAGTGGAAAACAGAGTAGAATTGCCGTGCTAGCAAAGGGAAAGGTTAGAGGTGTCTTTTCCACAAAAACTGACAATTTCCTTTTTACATGCAGGTTACAGGTTAGCAGTTAACACAAGGAAGTATCTAAACAAAGTTGGGGTTCTTTGCTTTGCAGCCATGCTTTCAGCTTTACTCCAGTTTCTTCAGTAAAGCCTTTAAAACATCATGTCCCAACAAATTCACATTAAACCAGCTTAGGATCAGTGATGCAAAGTCTAATGTTGTTCTGCTTTATGCCATTAATTTATTAGTAGTCATCCAGGGAGAGGAGAAGCCTTCAAAAACTAATTAACATGTAAAATTAAAATAGAGACTGTACCTCAAATATAGCAATGGCAGCAAGCAAGTCCAGTTTTAATTAACAGATTCTAGTATTCTTAATTAAGACAAAAAGTACTCTTTAAGCTACTGTGTTACACAGGCCATTAAAAAGCTCTCTGTAAAACATTGTTCTCTAAGGTTAGTTGCCCACATTAGTCCCATTAAGACCACATATATTAAAAAAAATAGTTATGCTACTTATTGCTATAATTTTGCAAGTTCATTCAATGCTGATCGCTTCACTTTATAATGAAGAGAAATCTGATGTCTAATCTGAAACTTAAATCTGATCAACAACTGCAAGATTTTGTAGATTGTGATCAACTGTTCATTGAAAGAATAAAGATATAGAAACAGTTTTAGGACCATCTAATCACTGATTACATCCTGGACATAATCTTAAGGACGTGAACTCACAAATAAAAATGGGAAGAGAGGAGGGTGGAGTTTGTTCTACTTCTAATTAAAAAATCAGTATTGACTATCATCATTTTTTGTTTGAGCTGTCTCACTTACTGAACCTATAACCCACCCAAAAATTAAGACTAACTGGTTAATTAAACCAGTGTGATAAAAGTTTTTTCACATCTAAAACTAACCTGAAAAACGTGAATTGGAGCATCACAGGGAAACAATGTGTTTACCCATGGCTTGTATGGCTATGAGTAAATCAAATGTAACCACCAGCGAAGACACAGATCCTGTTGCATGATAAAACTTTTAAAGTATTTTCACAGTAGGTCTATGGTTCACTTGGGAGTATTGGGGTCCTATTGAATGCTTTCCAAATGCACTGAAAGAAATATTTATTCTAATGAAGATGCCAGTTAGCTCAGGTGCTTTCCACTTTGACTTTAGTCTTAGGTAAATCATGTCACCTCTTACCAAAAAAATTCCATAAAATCATATTTACTGCAAATGTTATTACTTTTCTTGCAATTTCAAAACACATACCAGGCTGAGGGCTGGTCTTATGCTTCTGAATTTTTTCTTTTTTAAACTTTGGCACTATACGAAACACTGTACTTCTATTGTTTCTTTTAGCATAATCCAGAGGGGGATCCTGCATGAGAAAAGAGGCATAGTTACCTTTAATTAAGAGAAAACAACAGTTAAATTATATGCTTGTGATGGTAATTTAATCGCAAAAAGTAAGACCCAAATTTACTTCTGTAAAGAATAATGTTAGGATTTAACTCTATACATTTTTCTATTAATAAATATAAATTTAAAATATCTGTTTCATGTAGTTATTTATCAATCAAAACCTTTACACTCACAAAAGGGAATAAAATACCACAAAAAAGCACTATTGAAGGCTGTTCACACCAGACAGAAATGATCCACCAACACCACTGAAAGTGCCACAAGAGATCAAGAAAAATTGTAATTTACTTTTCCCTATCGAAAGAAAATTAAGTTCAGTTAAAATCAGAATGTGTTACTCAAACTTACCTCATCATCATTTGGTTGAAAAACATAATAAAGCCAAGGAATCTCAGCAAGTTTTCTCAACTCTATTTCCACACTGTGCAAAGCATCAGACAACAGTTCTTCATGGGGAGCTTCTAACTGCTGTTATAAACAGGCCAGAAAAATAGGACTTTTAGTTTCATTAGGTTTAAGTCTAGATATCTTGTTACCACACACAGAGAGATGACTACTTCATGGTGAGTATCAACAAATAGTGAAGACAAATAATCATCCAAAGTTAGACTTTCCTTGAGAGATGTGTGAGACCACCCTCATACTACATTTATTACAGTCCCAATCACAAAGGGATGACGGAGACAGCTGAGACTTTTGGTGCAGACCAGTTGGGCATAGTTGTCAATCCTTGTCATCCTTCACTGCACATCCTTCACTGCTTTACAGAGCAAGAGTTATCTGATAACACCACTAAAAGGACACATTAGAAATGGACACTACCTACAGAAGGAAGAGAAAATCTGATGAGAAGAATAAGCAGCTGAAAAATCTTTGTATGAAAAGTGGTGTACAAAAATTGAGTAGATGGTAATAAGCCTTCATTATTTTTTGCACAGGTGTTCAGATGGTTAATCACTCTCTCATGTTCACGTATGAAGAAATGGATCTTGCTGAAGATTTGCATTCCCAAAGGTCTTCCAGTGGTGATATGATACCTGCACTACCCATTCTAAAGAGATGAGGTAGGGAGCAATAGGTACTGCTTCTGGCTAAGGGTGGAAAGAACTCCCAGGCAGGAGACAAAAACATCAGTAAAGGACATCAGTAAAGGCCAAAGGGACCTGACGATGCATGTGAATTTGGCTCTACTAAGACTTTGAGGACCCCACAGAGATGCCTGTTTCCTTTAAAACTCCAGTCTGTAAACTGTTTTGCAGCTGTTGTGTGAGGAAACCCATGTGGAAGAGGTAAGGAAGGTAGGTGATCCCTTGAAAAGCTGTTTTGAGCTGGAATTGCTGAATCACCATTTTGAGGTAAAGAGTTGAATCCTAGACCAAGTTGCTTGGAATCATTAATAAAGCAATCTGAACATCTATTTCTCTCTTTAAAGTAAAAGTAATCCTAAAGTGGTGCAGAATATCCTTCTGAAAAGATCAAATTCTGTTACATCCTAGTGACTGCATTTTTTAAATGGAGTTATAAGAAAATCTTGGATCTCCAGTGCTGGAAAAATATTTTGACATTGCTGGAGTTTAGTGATAAATTACAAACCCCATTGATTTATCCTACCTAACAAAAATGTCTTTGTTTCAGTAGTCTGCATATGTTCCCATCTTTCAAAGGAGAGACCATCTTTTGTAAAATCTTACTGTCTAATATAGTGATACTGGAAATATAAGCTCCCTTTGCTATCATGTTATTTTCTCTGATGAAGCTCAGAGAATTTGGTGTCCATAAGCAGATTTTGATCTGTCTTTTGACTTATCATTTTTTTGCCATTTAAACAGTTCAGTTAATTTGGAGCACAGGGAAAAAGCCACTTGTCTTTGAAGAAGTTACAACTTTTCTTGTGTTGTCATTTCTGAGAAATTACTCAAATCATCTATTTTCTATAAAAGGATGAAGCAAAGAATTCTGTCTTTCTCAACAAGTACTTATCTAATTGCTTGATTCTCAGAGGAAAACATTTTGCCTGGGGACAAAATAATGCTCATCTGATGGTGCTCCTGAAATAAATCCAAAATAATAATTCTGGTATAGAAAGAATTAGCAATTCAGGGAAAATTCTCTTCTCCTACAACATCTGGGAATGTCTTATTTCCAAGATAAAAATTCACACTATGAATGAAGAAATAAAAATAAAGGATTTTTCAATTCCTTCTCTATTTAAATTTTTTATATGAAAATATTTTATTTCATTGAGTTTAGATAATTTTATTCTGTTGAAATGAAACAGCCTGTCATACTTTTTCCTTAATGCATTTGAAAACTGTGCTTGGTTCCAGACTGGAAAAAATGGACATAGGGCCATATAGACAAAACACAGTATTTTTAATTTTTCTAAACTATATTCCAGCCATAAGCATCTGAGAGATCCCACAAATCAGCTTCATTGTCCCATCTGTAGATGAGCAGGGACATCTACAAGAGCAGCCTGGTCTTGTAGATGTCCCTGCTCATGGCAGGTGAGTTGGAACTGGAAGATCGTTAAGGTCACATCCACCACAAATCATTCTGTGATCCTATGTTATTATCATTTCACTAAAGATTGTATTTTACCATTTGTTGTGATTTAACACTCCTACTGTAGTATGAATTTGTTAATCATAGTTCTTACAGGAGGTGGAAGGAATCACAGACTTGTTTTATGTTTATTTAGTTTTTTTCTCTTCCTCAGGAGCTGTAAGAGCAAAACTCAATAGCCAGTAAATGGCAGCCAAAGAAGCAGCTTAAAAAGTGTCCTAGTTTAGTCACTGGCTGGGGTTAAACCAAATAGTATAAGCACCAAAGACATGAGTTTACTGCTTTCAAGAGCTTTGACCACAGGTAAGAGGGATGTGGGAGAAGTGAAGACACCAAAAAATTAGAGGAAGATAGGAAAGAATGTCTGTCTTTGACAGAGAAGAAAGATCCTTAGAAGAACAGTTTATGATGGGAGTGCTGATGCATCATGCAACATCTTACACTTCATCTCTATTTTAACAGAATGATGGACCAACATAGAGGCAACTGCAGCATTTATAAAATACATAACAATAAGGTTAACCAGAGTGCCTTGTTACTGTGACTGAAATACTCAGCTAAGTGAGCACAATGTCAAATGAGCGTAATGAACACCTCTAGAATATTGTCTTGGTACATTCCAAACAGCCTTTTTACTAAAAAAAAGGGCCTGATGTAGCCTCATGAAGACATTTGCATAATCATAACGAGAAGCAGAAGTACAACATGTAAAAATTCCGAAACAGAAAAATGAATCAAATTAAGCTTTGGAGCCTGAACAAAGGCCCAGTTCAACAACACAATGAAATCACAACCTGCTGCAGAAAAGGTAATGTTTCAATGGGAAGGTTTCCATAATACATTATTTCCAAACTGTCTCGATAAATTTTACTAGTCCTAGTATGAAATAACCAACTTAAATGTCTTCTTCTAATTACTTTTGTAAAACAATTTAATTTTTTTTAAGTCTCTATTTTAATTCCCCGCTGAATCTGAAATATATGGGATTAGCAATAGCAATTTGAAAAAAAATCAGCAGGTGTTTTTTCCTTTTTCTTGGACAAACACATCTAATGAAATAACTTTCCTTTTGAAACACTGTAAAATAAAACATGTGAACCTAATCTCTGACTATTTCTATAACTTAAACAATTATTAGCCTTTAGACTATATTTACTTCTGGTTACTCTAAAACAGATTTATCACTTGTTTGTATAGTATGTGAACCTGCAGTAAGTATTATATCCTAACTCAGCTAAATGAAAATATTCCTATTAATATCCATTTTTAATTACAACACTTATATAAAAAAGCTAGTAATGAATCTGCTTTTGAATCTAAAGAAAATGTAACTGCTCCCACTGAGCATCTTCTCAATGTAAAACTGGACCAGCATAGAAAACCTGACATCTTTCTTCTCTTCACAATGTCAATAGAAGAAATTTTCTAATTATACATCCAGATACAATTTCTGAAAAATCTGTATCATTTTAGGCACAAACACTTGCCAAAGAAGATGCAATGTTTTCGAGTACCATTAGGGGTTTACTGAATACTTACTAGTTGAAGGTTATAAAATAACTCCTGACAGATATTAGAACCTTTGAGGGATATTTACTTGCCCAGATTAGGTCTGCAGAAGTTGACTGTATGAGTCTAAACATCTCTCACCCCAGGCTCCCCTTAAACTCTGAAGATGGTCACATAAGAGTTCTCCAGAAATTCTTTTAAATGCTGTATCTCCAGAAGATAAATCATCGTTTTCTAACATACGCCTCCAAGACGGCTGATTGTGAATCAGCTTCCCAAGGATTCCTATTTCTCTCCACTGACTTTTAACAAGCAATGACTTAGCTATCTGAAGTGAGGCAAGATGGATTCCAGCCTAAGAGAAGATTTCAAAACTTATTCTGATCCAACCAAAAATGCAGTGTAATCATCTATCAACCTTGCAGAGGTTCTTGCAGTGAGTCCTCATTTTGGCACCAATTTACAAACACCAGCAAAGAAGAAATCACAGATGATCTGCATGAAGGAATAAAACCATGTGCTTTGTGACCTTACCAAAGGAACTCTTCCTACTAGCAGAGATTCTGTTTCATTGTGTAAGGCCTTCACATTGACAGCTATCTCCATGGCAGTGTTTCTGGTAAGGCTCTAGGGAATAAGAAGCATAAACATTCTTTGAAGTGATGCAAGTCAGACTGAGAATAAGTACTTTCACCTTACAGGACAGATCTTAAGTGCTTTCCCCTAGGAGAAATATACATCACTTTAGCTCTAAACTCACAACCTGTTCAGCACAGAGAACAGAAACCAAAAATATAGTATCTATTTGCTGTCTTTTCCTCAATTTTATTTAGTATGACATTAATACAATCCTGAAGATCATCAGGTGGTCAGCCACTATATCGATCCATGTATGACAAATGCCAGCAGAAAAGTTGTGAATTTCATTTAACAATTACTATTGACTTCAGTTTTTCATTATCCTCAGCAGAAGCAAGCTACTAACCATAAGTCAAAAAGCAAAGGTCAACTAACATATTTACCCTGTGTCAATTTAGGTTAGGTGTGGACAGCCTCTACCTAATTAATCAGTTCTGGGTCCAATCCCAGAAAACACCCAGATTATCCAGTGTGAAGAGAGAAACCAGGAAACTCATTCCCCTCTGCCTTCTCTGTATAGCACTTTGATAGCAATTAAGCATGAAAATTTCTGTGAAAGCATCCACAGAAAATGACCTTTACGTAGTAACAGCTCTGGTTCAGCCTCTGTCATGCCTCCACCCTCTCTGAGGCTATGCCTGCACAGTACCAGGTGGGGAGGACAGTGGGGAATGCAGAAACTGCATCTTCTGCCTTCTCATCCAACTTGTTTTCAAACAGGGACAGGGGACAATACAGTCCCCATGCCACAAACTTGTGCACCAGATGTTATAGCTTATTTATATAAATCTCAGTTCTTCTTTACCTCAGGAAACCTTGGGTTGGCTTTATTTAATGCATGTGAACATGCATTAACAGCATGAGCAAGCTCCTGCTCCAAGAGGCCATGTACTTTTGCTGCTTCACAGATCCTACAAACACATTTAAAAAAGGAGAATAATGTTTCTTAATTTCTTTGAATAATAATTCTTGAGTACACAACTTATCAGATGAGAAAATACACAAGAACATGTTTCACAAAATACTTGGAAAATTATAGTCCTTTATAACAAAAAACTGAAAGGTAAGTATTTCTTCAAGCAATATAGCACCTCATAGAAATTATATCCATCACACAGATTAGTTATGATGCTACAAAATACTGAGATACATTTATTTGTCTTAGAACATTAATGCTATACAAAATGGACCAAAAAATGTTGGTCCTATTAATTCAAGTAAACTACAGAGGAAAACTCTAGCACATTACAATAACTTACTTGAAATTATCTTAAAAACCCTTACAGATATTTCACAAGGCATATCCTTCAGATGTGACATGAAAATTGGCTGCAGTCATTTGACATTATGGGAGATCCAATTGCAGCTACAACCTCCAAACCATCTCTAGAACAGTAATGTTTTTAAGATGTCTTGGCTAAACTTCACCTTGAGTAATTGATAAACTAAATTATTTGTCTGTGACTGCAGTATAAGGAGAGTATGTAGCCCTTCTTTTCTTATATTACTGGGGATTTTGGTGCTAAAGATAATTAGTTGTTATGATAAAATGAATAGCAGTTTTATAAAATGTTCTGATTTAAAAAAAAGTTTTTATTTATCTCCGCCTATATGAATGACTGAAATATCCATCCTGCTGACTTCTAGAGCTGACTTCTAAAGGTTTTTTTCCAGTAATTCCCAATTATATTTTTGCTTTGTCATAAAAAGAGAAGCTTTAATTTTTGCAAAGAAGCTTTACAGCTTTCCATTTGAGTTGCTACTTCAGAAAGTTGGTTTTTACAAGAAAAAAATGAAAAGCAACACAAAATCACATAAATTAAATTTTTAAAAATACATAGGAAAAGCACACAAAAAGAAGTTGAGCCTTAAAAATCTAAATTTTTAAATTAGAAAAAAACAACTGATATAGTGACAACAAAACTTTAATCAAAAACCAGGAAAAATGTACACTTCTAAGTCTCTGTATGTATGAATTTGCATTAATAATTCAGTCTTGGTGTCTAGGTTGCCAATCCAACTTATTAATTTTACTGTACCTGGTAATAAGTTCTTCTGCAGCTTGTGAGCACAACTGGATCTGTGCAACTTCTTCATCTGAAGCCAACTCAACAGCTTGCTGAGGGTACAAGGGGGATCGAATGACAGGTTTGCAGGAGTCATACTTCTGTTTGTCCTCCCAAGACTTCAGGGTGTTTTCAAAGGCCTAATCAAAATGAATTATACATTCAATTGACAGCACTTGGGAGTATTCTTACTCATTGAAAACTTTAATTTTACATTTTACATAAATTTAAATTATATATTATTTTAGTTAAAACTGACTTAACGAATAAACAGGTGCTTGACTTAATTTTATATAAATAATGCTACCTGATTAAATAATAATTTTACACCTAACATTTTTAAAACTTAGTCTAGCAAGTAAGCCACTTCTGAAAGCTTGTTCTCTGTCTCCTCCTCATAGTCTTCAAAATGTGTCTTCCAAACCAATAAGAACACAAAGACAGTAATAATGGTTGGACTCAATGACCTCAGAGGTATTTTTCAACCTAAATAATTATGGAATTTTGTGGTTCTCTAACACAAGCACCTTTTGTGTGGATAGCAAGATAGAAATTCAAATATTATCCTGATATGGAATTCAAATATTAAAAATGGTGGAGAAAAAAACAAATTTACTAAAATAGAGTTCAAATTCCATCTGAACTCCACCCTAAATTCAGGATCCAGCTAGTGGATGGAGAACTGAGGGGCAGTTGTACTTTTCACACAATAATCCTAGATAAGCATGAACTCTCCAGTGGTTTTGTGACTAGGTTGTACTCGTGTCTCTTCTGTCTGAGACTGGATCATGAGGGAGAGGGAGGACTGGTAGGACAGAGAGAGAGAAATCTGTGGAAAGCTATTCTGGAAAATGGACAGTATAGAACTTTGCTATTTATGCAAGTGTGCTACAATTTCCAGTATATGACTGATATAACACACCTAGAGAAAAAGAAAGAAGCAGTAGAAAGGGAGGGAGGGAGGAATAGATAAAATGTTGACCATTCTTACTATATATTAATAAGAATATAGGATTAGCACTAATGAAACAAATAAAAGTTAACAAAACTTTGCCACTTATACAAAAAATTAATTCTCTATCCGGCTCATTATAGAAATTATATCACTGTAACTAACTGTATGAATTATGTAAACAGTTACAAAATATTTTTATAAGTACTGTTTTGTTCACGTTATAACTGAAACAAATTATTACAGAAACTAATGTTAGCAATGGTAGCTCTTTCTGCAACATACTCTGTCTCGTGTTAGCATCTGAGCTCTGTTTTTATGTATGATCTTAATAACTCCCGGGGGCTGGATCCATGCCTCTCCATCGACTTGCACTGGAACCCCTTCATCACCAAGTATGGTGATCTTTACTGACCGACACTGGAAAAGAACAAACATGTTATTTTACAGGGCAATAAATACTGCTGAGACTGACAGGCCACCTGTAATCTGTTGATTACGAGGAGCTGTGGCTTCTCTCCAGAGCTGTCTCAGGAATTAAGCTCTCCTATACTTCATTCATCATTGAGGACAATTTGTTACCCGCTAAAAGCAAAACAATGTCAGTGCTTTATTAATGTATAGGGTGGTGGTCGTCAAGAGTCCCACTACTTGTCAGAATCCCAAACTGTTGCCAACCATCCTGCATGCTTGCAAGTAAGCAACAAACCTGAGCTATCCTGTGGTGCTGCAGTTTGATGACTCTGGACACTGCCATCTGCATGCTTCCAAATACAGCAACAACCTCCAAGATTTTATCGTCAAAAGATGGAGCTCCAAATATCTGTGAGGAAAAGAAAGTATTCCACTTTTGATTGCAAATCCAGTGCTTAAATTGCTATGAAACACAGATTCATTTACAGTTTTTTTTTCATCATTTAAATGCTCTAAATTCTTTACTGTAGAATAACTATACTGTTTCTCCAAAGTCATAGGAGTAAGATACCACAGACAACAGACAAATGTCATTTAAAACAGCAATGCTGATACCATTTGAAATATCTGGATGACAAGGCATATCCTTATATAGGAAAGATGGCATGTTTCAGAACACAGATTAAAAATATTTTTCAAGGCAAGATGAAAGGCCAATTAAAATATCTTCTTGGGCAATGTACTCAATATCTAAGAGGTTCTTGAAGGTAGGAGAAGGTAAGAGAAATGAATGCTTCCCTTTTCTTCTCAGAAGTGCTTATCTTTATATTCTGAATTCTCTGGAAATGAACATCCAAGTCCATGCACTGCTTTGTTTAACAGAGCTTTGATACTGAAGACAATCTTGTTTGTGCTAATTATCCACGGTAAACAAGAAAACCACTTCTGTATGGAACAGATGTCTCCTGCGCAGCTGAGGTACTACATTTCCACAGGCTCTCACAAAGCCACCTGCTGTGCTGCCAGGGAATGCAGCCTCAGGGCAGATCTCGGCCTGGACTTCAGCTGGGTCTCCCAGGTGCTACCAGGTCACTTGGAGCTTGGCCATTTCATCTTGATATGCAATAGGGAGCAATGAGAGAGAAAATCCAGCAGGAGGAATCACTCCAGTAAGAGTTTAATGGGTAGGGAGATCACCCCTCTGAGCAGTACTTGGGCTCCCTCAGTTGGCACCTTAGGCAGAGTAAGCTGTATCAGTAACACCTGAGAGCAGACTGGAGAAAATCATAGTTTCTCTATCTGATTTTTTTTCCAGTTTCCATGGATTTTTTTTCCATTTTTCACATACAAACATCTTGAAAAGAACCAAGATGGTGATTCTGCTGTTCCACGATAAAAAGTGTGGAGAGTTCCTGATCCAGTAACTGACATTTACAGGGCTTGTTCTGGCATGTGCTAAGAAAAAGTAGTTGTAAAATTTCATTTATTTTGTGTTGCCATTTCAGTAAAAGGACAGGAAAAACTCAACCAAGTCTTCTGCTGTGTCTCTCCACCAGTAATACCTGTACTGAAAACCAATCTCTTTTTAATCCTTTTTTTTTCTTTTAAAGGCAAACCAATCTCTGTGGATCATCATTCTAATTGACTCCTGTTGCAGGTTAAGTTTCCGGCCTGCCTTCTGGACACCAAAATCGCATGCCATGCTCAAGCCAGTCAGGGTGCAGATGCCCTGCTTGGCTCACTGCTAATGTTTCAGCAATCATCAGAGCTGTCAAGGCAACATCTTTAATTTGTCCAGAGAAGCAGAACCAGCAGCACTTCAGACCACCACCACCACCACCACCACCTCTTGATGAAGAGTCATTCAAGACTGCACTAAAGCAGTGAATTATGCTCCTAACTTTGGCCAGAACAAACATGTCACTCAGCTGGTACATCTGCTCACTAGAAGACTAATAATATCAGTAAAACTGCTCCAGGACGCACACATTTGCTGTATACCAGTATGAAAGCTGGGGCAAATCTTCTCTCTCACTGAAGCAGTCCAGGGAGAAAAAAACCCTCCTGAACAGGGGCTGAGCAGATGTCAGAGCAGCTTTCAAGTTCTGACTATGAACATGGACTATATATAAAAGCTTTAGATATCCATTGCCAAATATAAACAGAATTTCCATCCTCCGACATATACCAAAAATAAGAAAAGGACACTAAAACATGTCTAAATTTCTTTTTTCACTTTTACATATATGTATATATACACACACATATATAAAACTTATATATATACATATGCAAATATATATGTATTTTATAATATAAACATGCAATTATATATAATAGATGTTATATTAAATTGCATATGTTGTATATAGGTACGTTTGTATGTATGCATTAAAAAATGAAAGGATAAAAACTCACAAGAAACATAAAACTTTTTGGCAAAAGAGTCCTGGATTGTCTACATCAAAATCACAAGCCAGTTTGCAAGTACAGTTTTAGGTGATTCAGACATCACACACTAAATCAGGACATGCAGATTAGGATAATCTGCTAGTAATTACAGTTGGTGAGCTATGAGTGAAGTGGGTAGGGGCAGTAACACTGTTCCAGGTTGTACGGCATGTAGGAATCCATGTAGTGAAATGTTTCTTAGGAGTTGAAAGAAAGAAGGGGGAAAAGGTACCTTAAAGTATTTTAAAGGTTCATTTAAAATAATATTCAAAAACCAGCTTACTACTCCCACTAAATTATAAGTCACTAAATGCATCAGTCTTCGCTTTCTGAATCACCATCCCCCACAGCAAAGCTGTTTGAAGAACAGGAGGAAAATTAAGGTAAGATCTTTTGACTGATTATCCTGTCTACCTTGCTGCTTGTCAGACTACAGCAAACAGAAGAATCTAGGTTTTGAGAAACCTTATTTACAGGCATCTGTAAAACAATATAGAGAGAAATTACTAGTGCCTCTGTTTATAAAATTAATTTCTAGAAATACTCATAGAGCCATTTAAAAAACAAAATTATTATGCTTTATTATGAACATTTTGCTGGAATGGACATGAGAGAACACAATGGACAGTAAAAAATCATGGAACATATTTTCAATTAAAAAACCAGCAAGACAATACAGTTTGAACTGAAACTCCTCCTCAAACAAGAGTTGTTATCCAAACTATATGCTACTACTATTAAAATCAAGTGAGAAGAGCAGTTCATTATATTTCTTGCTGGTTTTGCCCAGAAGGTTAAGTCTCTTTAATGCTACTTACATCATCTTCTTTGGTTCCACCCCAGAAATTAGTCCCACCGGCATAGCTGGGAATGTTTAGCACAGCTATGCCCTGCAGGCTTGGAAGGGGGATGTACTGTCCGTCACACTGTAAGGGATAAAAGTTCCTTCAGTACACAAATAATATAATAAAAGTAATCAGTAAACAGTAATTTTTAGCACATGAAGCTTCAACAGAGCTGGCAGGGGAGGACAGTCATTAAGAGGTCTGGTACAAGACTGCTCCTTCCATGCAATAAAGAACCTCTAAAACAAACCCCTTCTTTCCAATCTTAGCACTGACTTTTGCAGAGGCCAAAAATATGTAGATCTACATGCTGAAGTATCTACAGTAGTGGTTTCCATGAGTCTTGAAAGAAACATTTTCACATCCCTTGTTATGAAATTTCTCATGCACTTTGACCATAGTCTGTCCATCAAAGATTAAAAATCTTTTTGCAGTAAGAAAACCAATCTCCCTGAATGCACACAGTAAGATTGCCAAGGACATTACAAAAAAAATTCATTTATACATTTGGAAACTAGTTTTCCATCCTATACCAGCATTCCCAAAATTGCAATTGCGACTTTTTATTTAGTGAAATCTATTTAAGCCAGGGGCAGGGGCGTGGGTGTCAAGAATATCCAAGAATATTTCTGGCATAGCTACAAACATGTGGTTAGCTGTAAGTGTTTGCATGTATTGTTGATTTCCTGTAAAAATAACTTCATTCTCCTCCCAAAAGTGCAAAGACAAATCTAGGACTGACCCCACAGTTGCCACCCTGGCTGCAGATGTTGATTTTGCAGGTAAGAGGTCACTCTTATTTCTGACCATCCAGTCTTTCCTTCTTACTGCTTTATCTCCCAAAACACATAAGCAACTCCATGTCCTGCTCAACACGATCATGTGCATCAATCTCACTTTTGGCCAAGAGTAAGTTTACAGACATCAGTGAAATCACTCTTGATTTACAGCAGTACAACTGCCTGCAGGGGAAGCCCAGTGATCTCAAACCATTCCACTGGGAGTCAAAAGTGCAGTCCTGCAGCAGTGCCACAGGCATGGAATTGAAGCAAGTTATACCAGGTGTCACTTTATGGACCATGAAGTTGCCGGTCAAGCTGCCTTTAATGAAGATTTCTAGATGACCGCACATTACCAGTCCACAGAAGGATCTTAAAATTATACAAATGAAAATCTACAGAAATAAGGACAAAATCTGTAGCGTCTTTAGCAAGAGGGGAAAGAGATTCAAATTATTTCCAGAATGTGCTTAGTGCTCTCTTTTTGTGATTTAATCTTAGCAACAAGACAGAATGTAACGTTTTAATCAAGATGTGTCAGTATCCAAAATATGGTGTGATATTAATAGATGCTGCACAGCCATTTGTATTGCAGTAAAAGTCTGCCTCTAGTGCCTGAATATGCAGGCATAATATATCCAATAATACACAAGACAACAGTAAATGTGAAATTCTGACTTGCTGACTTACTTACAGGAATATTAAAAAAAATATGGAAAGGTCAGCAGTATTATTGAATCTTATTTGAATCCAGTTCAAAAGATTCTTAAATTGGAATTCTATCTGCAGTATACATAACGTTCTCTCCTGGCATTATATTTGCTAACTACTGCATAATTCCTTGATAATTACTCAATCCTTAGCTAACAGCAATCTGCCACTACCAGACAAAATCCTTCTAAATCCCAGAGTGAGAAAGAGTTCCAGTAACCTAAAATTATTCTTTCAACTTAAAAAGTTACCCTCATATAAATATCATAAACTTCCATATGAAATAGTTAGCATGAAACAAAAAGAGAAATTATATATGTTCTCTGTCAAAATCCACCTTAGATATTCTTTGGGTGAATAGAACAGTAACCATCCTGTAGTCTTTTTCTGCATTTGGGAATCATTTATATCTCCTTTAAGTTTCCAGTACCATGTGGAAGACTTAGATTTTATGTTAGAACTTAAAAGCCAAATAAGAACTATGTTAGACATGGAATTTGGTGTTGCTTTGATAATATCTTCCTTTTTTATGTGAATATTAGAGAAAGTCTGTACTGCTGTAGCTGGGCTTCTTGCGATGCATATTCAGAATCTTCTCCCTTTTGTCAGAAATTTTTTACTATTTACATGCTCTTCCTACATGTGTAGCTTCCATATACTTTAAATTGAACCTGAAGGATTAAAACTCCCTATCTCTTTTCTTCTCTTTATTTTATGGTTATTTTTCTGGTTGCCATTAAAACCTGGTCTGTCTTTTGATACAGTAAACATTAAGAAATATATCCTACCTCCACACTTTATTCTCTTTTTGCAATCCAGTAATTACAAGAAACATAATACTGGGTATTTTGTGATCTTAAAGTACTGACATTTTACTCAAAAACATGACTTGGAGGACCAACTTTTACATAGCACATCTTTACACAGTGCCTTTGAGGTCAGCTTGGGTTAATGTAAGAACAATAACAGGTTTCAAAAATAAGCACTAATTCTTCACTACACATTGTGCCAGCAACTCTCTCCATAAATAAAATTTACCTCAAGTTGAACTTTTTGTTCTAAGTTCTTGTAAGTTCTCTGCAATAGCTCTTTTGTGCCAAGAACTCCATACCACATCATGTTTTTCGTCCGACTTCTGAAAGCAGGCAAAACAAGATTCACATATTGACGTACACATATTATTAGGTCTTGTATTTGTAGAAAAAAATTAAGAAATTCATATAAAGAGGTAAGGAAAAGAAAAGAATGGAAACATCCTGGCTTTGTTACTGGCAGAGTAATTATATTACCTGCATTTTTCAGGGTGCTCTTCTCGCTTGTTATTAAATTCTAGTGAAATTTTTGCATCTAATCCAATTCCAAAGTAGTTGTTCATGACACATTTTTCTGAATATCCCTCCCTGTTAGAGGAAAAGAGAAAATCAGGTGGACATTTGTACAGAACCTGGACATGCAAACATCTTTACCAAAACTGTGATTGGTCACAGCACATGAACTGGTCACAGAATATGAACTAAGATACTTCAAGAGATCTTTCCTCTGAATCTTCCTAAGTAAACTGGTTTGGGCTGAAAAACCCAGCTCTGAAAGATTACTGTCCTCCTCCTCCAGCTGAGCAAGGGATAAATGAGCAAATGTCTCCCCTTACTTTCAGCTGCTGCAAAAAAATTTGCACTGCTCACAACTAACCCAATACAATCCAGTTTGTTTTCAGACATTGAGGTCTACTGCCAAATGATGGCAAACAAGAACTTCATAATGCAAAAAAATAAGAGACTACAAAAATGTGAGAAGGATGTCCTTAGGGAAAGCAAAATAGTACATTTAGAAAAAAAATATTTCTTACAAGGAATCTGGATCCGGGTCAATAAACGGCGTAGCACCAAATGGATCGATGTTTGCTAGCAACATTTTGCTAATAATTGAACTTCCTGCAATGGAAGCAGCTAGACCAGCCCTTAAACCTGATTAAAAAAAGAAAAAGAAAAAAAACCAACAAAACAAAACAGAAAGAAAATAATAAAAAAATGGATTTGATAAATAGACAAACATATAATATAAGCCACATACTGAGAAACAAAATTCATTAAATCTGTACAGGGAAAGATTATGATTCTATCTCAATTTTTACCACAACTAGTTATCAGGTCTCTGGTTCTCTTAAGCAGCTATGCTGCATTGTGGTGGCTCTCTCAGGTACCACCATGGAGAAAGAAAAAAACAAAATGTAGGGTTTCAGGCCAACACTCACTGGCTGGTACAGTAACCAGATGGGTGACCTAACATCCAAAAGACTGCTAGAGCTTTTCATTCAGTTCAATCTTCATCTCCTAACTGTCCATGATTTTTCTTTTGTCCTATCCTTTTGAAGCATACATAAGGAATATTCTTACCATTTTTACAACTGGCAGAGACATAGTTTAACTTAATTTTTTAAAAGATCACAGCCTCAACATGCCTGCTTTGAATAATATCAATTTCACTCTACAAAATACTCTGTAATGCATGTAAACAAAGCAAAATACTAACAGCTTTCACTTAAATTTGCCTAAAGATAAAAACATAAGTTTGGTTCCACTGTGTTTTAGCTATACTAATAAAGTTAATTAAAACAGTTTTACTAGTGCTCTCTAGTATTAATTCCATTTGGAGCAGACCAGACAGTTTTTCATCTATCAATTGAATTTAGGTAAGAACAGATTTTTTTTCCAACTGTTTTACAGAGCAGCTTTGTGTCGTTTCAGTTACACACTTCCAGAGAGATATCCACAGACAGTTCTTACTCAGAGGGTTGAACTTTACAGAGCTTTGTCCCTCAGCCTCTTCATCCTAATCCATTGATTAGGAATAAATGATAGAAGGATTTGGGTGGATGAAAAATTGGATGTGACCTGGCAATGTGAGCTTGTGGCCCAGAAAGCCAGATGTGTCCTGAGCTGCATCCAAAGCAGCGTAGCCAGCAGGGTGAGAGAGGGAATTCTGTCTCTCTGCTCTGCTCTGCTGAGGCCCCACTTGCAGTGCTGCATCCAGCTCTGGGCTCCCCAGCATAAGAAGGATGTGGACCTGCTGAAACGAGTCCACAGAGGGCCCTAAAGATGATCAGAGGGCTGGAACACCTGTCCTGTGAAGACAGGCTGAGAGAGCTGGGGATGTTCAGCCTGGAGAGGAGAAAGCTCCAGGGAGAATTTATTGTGCCCTTTCAAAATATAGAGCAGATTTATAAGAAAGATTGAGAGACTTTTCAACAGGGCCTGCAGCAACAGAAGAAATGGCAGTGATTTTAAACTCAAATTGAGTAGGTTTAGGTTGGACAAAAGGAGGAAAATGTTTGGGATGAGGGTAGTGAGACATGGTAAGAGGTTGCCCAGGGAAGCTGTACAAGCCACACCACTGAAAGTGTCCAAGGTCAGGCTGAAAGCTTTTCTGAGCAGCCTGATCTAGTGAAAGATGTCAATGCCCATGACAGAGAGCTGCACTATCTTTAGAGGTCTTTTCCAACCAAAACCACTCAGCAGTTCTATGACCCTGAATTTTACTTTTCACCCTCCGGAATCAAATGTGACACTTCTGCTACTTCTGGTGTTGTGCCAAAGGATCAGAAATATTCTACATTATTATGCATTTTCTCCTATACAGTACCACACAAAGATGTGTATGTCAGTTCAAACTAATTCAGGGCATGAAGTAATAGTCATTATTTGACAGCAAGCTTACCTGGACAGATAATTCTCGTGTTAAGTACTGGGAGGTTTTCCTTGCTTGCTGCCAAAGCTGGAGCAGAGAAGGAACCTGTCTGAGAATGGATACCTCGGCTTGTGCGTCTATCAGGAGATCTTGGTGCAGTTTTAGCTGTGCAGAAAAAACAAAAGTAAGAACACCAATTAGACCTACTATGACATTACCAATACATAATTTTTACAGCCCTGAAAATATATCAGAAGCATTAATTTAATCTGTTACCACTCCATGACAAAAGTCCTTCCCCCTCACAACACAGCTTTTCTTCTAAATACAGGAAGAAAACTCAGAAACAGATCAAGTGACAAACACAAATCAGAATGAGCAAGTGTGCATGGCACTCCACATGACTAGTTCCCAACTTATACTTCAAGCTACCAGCAAAAGTATTATATGTATTAAATGGAAATATGTTCATAAAATTTATTATATCCACCTTAAAATGCAACAGTATTTAATACTGCAGTAAGCTTCTGATAAACATACTACTGAAATAATTAAATCTAAACTTAAATTTCATCTATGTTTACTTTTAAATATACACATATTATACAGTATGCTGTCATTTACAATAATTTTAATATAGGTAGTTCCATGGCCTGTAGGTTAGAATATCTATCTTATCAACACCTACACTATTTTCTTCAAGCAGCTAAAATGGGCCCATGCCTGCATCAGATGCTAAAAATTCAGAGAAAATTCTGACATCTTTATTTACAGCCAAACTGAAAACTGCAGGAAGGGAAAAAGTCATGTCCATCTTTGCCTTCTGCATTTAGAGAGATTGTGGGGGGCATCAGTTTTCCATCATCTTTTCCACAGAAAAACTCAGAAAAAAAACCAAACCAGTAACTTCCCAATTAATTAACTTATTTATTGAAATTCTTCGGAAGTTAGATCAGTGAAACCTTGACAGATATCAATGTTTAGTAGCTGTTATTGACAAAAGCTCAGGAAAAGGAAAGGGAAGAAAATGAAAGTGAAAGAGAAGATATTCACAAGGAGTAACTGGAAGCTCAGTGAGGCCAGTTATCCTTTGGCTGCCTCTGGAGGCAACGAAGAAGGATTGGCTTTGCAGAGGGCTGACCTCGGGTGCGGTCATTTACTTTCCTGGCAGAACTGGTTTCATGCAGCCTCAGAGAGCATGCCAGTGCCGACTTCAGCCTGGGAAAGTTAATCTTTGTGCAATTCAGCCCTATCAGACATATCCAGAAACTGGTGCCCCAAGGAAAAAAGTATGAGTATTACCAATGCTTTGTTATAGCATTTCCACGTGCATGTAGAAATCTCACACAACAGATGGTCACAGACAGACACTTCTTGGCTATCTCTGCTCCAAATTATCTCACATGTTAAAAACTTCAGCTTAGGACAACACCAAACTTTACCATCTGAAGAAGCTCAGAACAAAAAAATGAAATAATTTCAAAATAATGTGATTTTTCCTCTAAAAATATGAAAACTAATCCAGCAAAAATAGAATTCGTAGGACTAGCACCAAGACAACAGCAGGGAAACAGCACCAGGAATGTGGTGGGAAGCATAGAATGCATCCTTTTCAGTGGCAGGAGTGATACAAATCAGGTCATGTCAATCATACCTTAGCCTGAGAGTAATGAGTGTACTGTATGAAGACACTAATGGAAAGAAAATGTTGAGTGGGAAAATCTAGAGACAAAAGGATTAACCAGAACAAGGGTTCAGACATTGTGTTCACATCACTTCAGGCCAGGATTTGCCCATTCATGGGGATTTTTTTAAGTGATGATAATCTAACATAGAACTGTAAGTGGAATGGCAAATTCTTTACTTTCTTGTATCCATAAGTAAGATAACACACCTTTCTGAATGACTTGCTGAAGTCAAACAGAAATTATTATACACAGGACAAGTGGGAAAAGTGGGTAAATTTTTCTGAATTGTTTTATATGACTAAGTAGACTAAAAGTGGACTAATATTCATGTCCTGACTTAAACACCTGCATAACAGCAGTAGCAGCTATCACAAAATGCTACCACATTGCATGGTAGCAATACAACACATTGATTTGTATCGATGCATGACAAAACACTGTATTAATGTCAAAAAAAAAAAAGGAATAAAAACGGCAAGTGATATCTAATGAGAGTCATTAAATATTTAGATGAAGGTATTAACATATAGAAAAACATTCATCAAATGACCAGGAAGATCCTTGCAGGGTAAAATACAATACTCAGAACAAAATTAACATTCATTTTTCATAATACTACTGAAAAATTCACAACACTGTTCACACAGTCTGTTCTCTCTGCACTTGCAAACAAGGCAGTTGTACTAAATAGGAAAATCAGCAGAGCAGCTGCTCTTTATTTGACAGATAAGACTCATGGGAATAACTGCAATAAAGATAAACTTTTGCTGTGAATGCTCTGATAAAAACAACAGAGCCCTAATGAGTAAAACTGATGTTTCAGTGCAGATAATTGAATTCATGTTCCATGCTTTGTCCCTAAACATCTATCGTCCAATGACAGCATTAATATGCACTCTATTCCACATGCAGAAATTATACCATCAAGATACAAGGACTTCAATAAATTTCTAGACCTAAATATCTTTATTATACAGTTATGGCAGTAGGATTGGGTCATCTGTAGGGCCAGCATCCTCTATGAGCTACTATTGAAAAGGGACAACCAACAGGCATTGATTCCCATAACCAAGAGCAAATAAAAGTGACCAGTGAAGAGACAATCACTGGAGAAAGCCTGATGTGTTTCTGGAGAAAACATGAGATCCTGGGCCAACAGAAGCCCCAACAGCTTCTCATTTCCAAAGCAGGAGCTACAGACACAGGCAACAGCTTCAGAGCAGAGCCCTGTGAGGACAACTTTAGAGGATTTTAGTGTGGGCTAGGGTGAAAAACAGGAGATGCAAATCCCAAAATATTTCTCTCATTTTGACCCAAGAAGTTGCTCACCAAGTATCTAGAGGCTGGGCTTTGATGCCTACCAGCTACCAGTGTTTCTTTATGACTCACAGATCATCTTGTGGCCTCACCATCAGGGCAGCACTGTCCATTTTGATAATATGGAAAAGACTGAAATTTCCACTGCTAAGATGCAGCTTTCCTAAAATTTCTATGTAGCTTGAGAATCTCAGTCTACAACTGAGACATGCTATTGCCACCATCACCTCCATCACCTAGGCTCTAGTCTTTGCTCAGTTTCAGGTAGAAAGGTGAGTGTAAACGCTGGATTAAATTCAGGCACTTCTATTCCCAATAAGTGCCTGTCATGGTTTGACCCTGGCACAATGCCAGGGGGTAGAGTGTCGTGGTTTGGCCCAGAAGTGTGTTTCTGGAAGAGTCTAAGTCAGACCAATCAGTGGCCAAATTCAAAATTGGCATCTGGTGTGGCCACTGAGGTTTGGATGCACCTCTGAGAACACACAGGGGTTAAAAGTGGGAGATTCCCAGAGAACTTCCTCTTTGGGAATCTGGCGTTGGTGAGTGGAGTCTGGACCTCTCCCCTGCCCAGCTGCATCTGGGCAGGGGAGGGGCAGGCCATGCGGCCTGTGAGGAGGAGGCCGGGAGCCCCAAAAGGTGAAGGGGTGGAGGAGACTGCAGGGGTGGAAGAGACTTGGGATGTCTGGGCAGCCCCCCTGGAGAGAGAGACAGAGACTGTGCTGGCAGCTCAGCCGGCCAGAAGTGGGGGATGCGGCGAGAGAAGGTGCCCGGCAGCTGTGGGAGTCCTGGGCAGGCAGAAGGGAAGATTTTAACCCCTTGGTAGAATAATGGAAACCTTAAAAATACTGAATCCTCCTGAATCAGAATGAGGAGAGAGAGATGAGAGATGAAATGGGCAAGCGTGAGGAAAGCTGGAAGAGGAGAGAAGAATCCTAGGTGGAAGAGATGATGGAGTGGCCTTGGGCTGGACTCTTTCTTGTATGGCCATGGACAGACCCGTGTTTTTTCCCTGTGACCCAGAGACTGTATTTAGGGGGAGGCAACACCTTGGAGTCAAGAGTGAAGCAGCGGCGTGAACAGAGACAGCTGAGGAGGGTGTGGGATGCCCTCTGTCTCCACGGAGAGGAAGATCTCTGTTCATGAGGCCCCTTGGCCCCAGGGGGTGAAATATGGGGGGGACTGGTGTCCCAAAGTTGAGAGGGGGCCCTGGCATTGTGCCAGGGTCAAACCATGACAGTGCCTTCTCAGCTTTGTGAATACATTCCAAAAGACTGTTCATCTATATTTTCCCACATTTTTCACTTACCTTTTATTTATTAAAATCTACTAGAATTTGTGAGTAGTTTCAAATCAAAGAGGATGCTAGTATTTTTAATTATGGAACCAATTATGCTCCAAATACAACTATAAGGAGATGGAATATTTCTATTTTATTCCTAATTTACTCACTTGATGGAGACTCAAGTTCCTTTGTATCTTCCTCTTTTTCCTCTTCTTTGGATTCATCCAATTCTTTGCTGTATTCTACTGGAGACTGGTTCACTTGTTCTTCACTATGAGCATTCTGCTCATCCACAACTGTTATTAAGGGAAAATACAAAGTCTCAAGGATTCTAAAGAAAAACTACATACATTAAAATAAGCACTTTTTTTTGGTAGCTTTTAGTTTTAAAATATCAACAAAAGAGTTTCATCATTAATTCAGTGAAAGAGTCAGTCAATTCTTTACCAGCTAATAAAGATTTGCTGTCAGAAATTTTCATTTTGTGGAGGCTAATATTTAAAGGAATGCACTTTTATATGTGCACACACATACATACATAAGTAGTCACACCTGCAGAGTCATCAACATTCAAACAAGCTGCATTTCTTTTCCTTGCAGCTTGTAATAAGCACATAATTTTATCTATGTAAGAATATAGAAATCAAATTTTATAATGACAACTTATTCCAGTTAGACAAACAAACAAGTAAACAAACATCATTATCCTATCCTATTCTACCAGTCTGGATCAAAATGTTGCTGATGTGCACCTTTTTCTGCTTGTTCAATGATCTGCCTCACAGCCTTCTTCAAGCTGTTTGCTCGGAGCATTAACTGTTGCCTTGGTTTGAAGAGCTTCTGGGAAGACTTTGAGACACACTCTGCTAATTGTTCTTTACTTTCAGACAGGGATTCTTCACTTGAGAACTCCTCTGGCTCTTCTTCCACAATGGGGGAAGCAATGCCTGGGAGAATGGGAGCAGCCTGGGCTTCTGTGTGAAGAGCCTGGAGCAATAGGTCCAGCTTTTCATTTAACTCTGAGCACTAAGACAAAGTGGAAAAGACACACACATTTAAAAAAAAAATTCAACAGTGAACATGTGAATATTTTCACGAAATATGGTACCGGATTATATATGAAACTGCAGGTGTCTTTAGTGTCTATGTAATTTCTTAGGTAAAATCCAAAAAGAGATTCAACATTTTGGAATATCAGATTATGAGTAGGTCTGCACAGTTTTTTTTGCAGACCCTGTGACACTAAACCATACTAGATCAATCATGTTACAAACCCCTCCAGTTATATTCAAATAATACTCCATGCTTAACTCAGCCTGCCCCACAACTGTATGGATTGCATCCTACCCCTCTCCCAACAACTTGCAGCACAGAAAACCACCAGAGGTTTGCCCACATATGGTTTTTCAGTACCCCAATTTTGAGAGGTATCTATCAGCTCTTAGACTGAGACACATGGGGGTTTTTCTGCAATACAGCTGTATATTTAAGCAAGTGAGTTGTCACAGAGCAAGTAGCTCAAGCCAGACTCAGACTGTCAAATGCCTCTCCCCAACACTAAGTAATTGTTCTCTCTAGGTACAAAGGACAAGAAAGGATTTTCTGCACCTAAGAGAAAGAAAACACTCTCTGGCCTTGGAACAGTTAAAAAGAAAAACTAATTTTTTAAAATGTGCACCGGATGGGAACGTGAACCACAAATTGCCACTAGCAAGTATATTTTCTGACTCCGGGATTGCCAAGGATTTTGGTTTTTTCTTTTATTTTCAGCTCATGTAAATTTTGTGTCTCATACCAAATCCTTCTGTTGTTTTCTTTCCCAATGTTTTTGCAACATGATCTCTGTATTTTGCAGCTTAAACCACTATTTTTAACATTGTGGTCTGTCTCCCCTTCATTCTTGCAGCATACTCTTCATTATCCTATTGTTTTCCTGTAGCTAACTTAATCCTTAGAAATATAACTAATGCAAAAAGAAATCCTTTTATCTCTATGTATGCTACCATGAACTTTATCCTTTATGAATAAAGAAAGTGTAAACAGTTTAAAGAGATCTCAGAGTTTAAAGACGGTTTGGAAATAATTAACTCTATGCAATAAGAAAATAAGAATTTTGAACTCACTGGTTGAAATGAAAGCCAAGCTGGGCATTCTAGAGCAATATGAAAATTAAACATCCATGAGCTATGAACTTGAAGAACCCAACAACTTTAAACCTGAATGTAGTCATAATCTTACTTTAATGGCCATGGCATCAGCTTCCTCTGCATTTTCCATTGGTTTTTCGTAAGTCTTCCCTATTTTGGCAACAAAGTCCTTTACAGTTTCACATAATATTCTTCAGGTAAAAAAAAAGGAGAGGGAAGAAATCAAATGAAATTAAATAGATATGTTTTGAATATTAAATTCTTATGGCAATTTATTTATATGTACACTGCTATGAATTATTCTTATTGGAAACTGAACTCCATGATCATACTTGTAAATCAGATGACACTCTTTTCCATAGCTTCCAAAATTGAAATGATAAGCTTTAAACCAAAAACTCTTTCACTTAAGCTTGGGCATACTTTGTATCTCAGCCTCTTATCTGAAATCAACATGACTGATTTTATCCACGCCCTTGCTTGTACACCTTCCTTAGGAGAGGACTTTGCAAACTTGCATTCCCTTTGGTAACTTCAGACACAATCATGCAAATTCACATGCACAGTTGGAGCTTAAAAACCATGGAGAAAATATACTGACTTTAAGGAAGCACTTCTTAGATGAAAGCATATGGCCACACACATCCCACTGCATAGCTCATGCTTTTGAACCATATCTGTGCAAACTACAGTAGCTGCAATGAATTTTCACTGTGTAAATCAGGAAAATACTTGGTTCTTGTTACCTGCACTCAGAGAGACAGCAAACTTACTAATGAAGTGAGGTTAATTGCTTAGTACTGTTCATTTGGTTGACATTTTTCTGACAAATTAAACAGATTTAACAAGGTACAGAATGAATTTAGAATCTGGAGTTAATAATATCCTGCAGTTTAATATGCTACATGTGCTATGTATAGGATTAAAAAGGAAATTTCGTTAACTTGTTTTTATGACAAAAAAAATATGTGATGATATGCAGATGTATTTTTTAAAATTCTATGACTGGTCTTTTGCATATTGCAAAACATAAGATATTTTTCATAGAGAAGGTATACACAGAAGAGTTCTGATTTCAGATGATGTCCATGATTTGCCAAATTTTTCTCACTTCAAAATGTTTCAGTTTGGGGAAAAAATCCCATTAATGTCCTAGATCAGTATTGATTGAAGTGATATAGACAGGGCTACAACAAAGCTACTTAAGCTCTGCTTCACACTGGTGAAATTGTTTGTCCTCTAAACATATGCTTTACAAAAAATAGCCAGAAGAAATGCAGTGTGAAGTAGATCACATCTATGCATTAGTAAGTTTTTTTTATTTAAGCCATGCACTGATTTGGAATGATTTAACAGCATTTTATATAAATACTGTGTGATTATTTTTTAAATTTAGTATTAAGCCATCCATTACAACTGTACCATCTAAAAATTTCGCAGAAAAGAACATCCACTCTAAAAGATATAAATCAAGATATATTAAGCCAAGCCAGTTGGCCATCCATAAGGAAATCAAGCTTAGAGAGAATGCTATTATGGTGATGATGTTACACAAGAAATTTATCCCCCACATCATACATAAAACTGGTTGACTCACTTGGCAGATGATATGACAACTGAATGCTGATCAGAATTGAGAATTTTTGCAAGATGAGCAGCAACTGAATCCTCATAAGCAGATATCTGAAAATAGAGAGAAAAGAGACTTCAATTTCCACACATTCCAGCAGTTTAACACCAAGTAGTGAGTTTAAACCCCTCAAAAATAGCAGGATTTTCATTTCAGATCTAATACAAGGCCAAGTGTTTGGCAATGAAGATTTTACATGCATTTTATGTGTATTTTATGTATCAGATGTTTAATATTCAAAGTTAGACTGCATCTGAGAACTTGATCCACAGTTCTTTTCCTCCTGTAAAGAAAACAGTAAGTTATTTCTAGGCTAAAATCAGTCTGTGAGGCAGAAAAGAATCTACCTACTCGGATTCATAACAACCTACATAATTATAACCTAATACCTTTTACTTCTAAAATAAGCAAAGCTTTCCTTAAACAAATTGCTCAATAAGAACAAGTCTCAAGTTTGCAGTTGTAATCTGGAATTTTCACTTTACTGTCAGGTGAGCTCTCACTTCCCAAGAACCACAACTAACAAAGACTGCCAAACAGCTATAATGTTATCAAAACCAATCTTCAAGGAGCAGACCATTTAGGGCTTAGTCTTTACAAGAACATTAAAAATTACAAATTACAAAACACTCAGGAAAATATTTGGAGTGGATCAAAAATGTATTCTCACACACTATATCCTATCTCAAAATAGCTCTGGATCCAGACCTCAATTTTAAAAGAAAATTTCAACAAAATTCCAAATCCAAAGCTAAAAAATAAATGCAGTTCTGACAGCTCCATTTAAGAATCTCTTGAAATCTCTCAGCATGCTTTTGTCTCTGATTTTGAGCAGGCAGATATACCACTTCAGTTTTTTCTTCTAAAACCTTCATCGTAGGACTCTGACATTGAATCAGTTTTCATTTCAAAGGAGAAAACAAAACATAAACATCTGATCCATAATAATGAACTACTGTTTTTCAAACACCAGTACAAGAATTCAGGAAACCAAGTGGAATTAATTTCCTGAAAGGAGGAAGGAAAGAGAAAAAGAAAAGAATCATATATGAACTTCCATTTGCTTTTCAAACTGTGGCATAATCCAACACCTACTATAAGGTTAATTATTTTTTTTTCTGAAATGGCCTAACTCAGTAAGCAATGTAAAAAATCCTATTAAAATAGAGATTGAACAGGGTACTCAAAAGCAAATGGTTTTGTCCAACTCAAGTAATGACAGGTAATATAGCCTACAGAATACATTTGCTAAAAAAGAAGTTTTATATGAGCAAGCAGTTCCTTCCATTTTCAGAAGGGGCTAAAAAAAGTTTCAAAGCCAGAAATAACTGGAACAAAATGATGATGAAGACACACTTGAAAATTTTAACTCTTGAAAAATTAGAGGCGATAAAGCCTTGATTTGCATTGCTGACACCATAAGCCAAGCTGTGTGCAAAGCAACCCCCTTAAAATCTCAGCCTTTTTGCATCTCTGCATCCAGCAATCCATCAAAGGTTATAACCTCCTTGCCAATTAAAAGAGCCTGAATTATTAAATTGTTCAAGAGACTGCTGATTAATTATGGCTTCTCAAGTACTTTTGAGCTACAGTTGATATGCATTAACTTTCTTGGGAATATATTATTTTTTCATTTTCAGTCAGACTTTTCATGCCAATTAATTTGATTAAAGCATCTCCTCTCAAATTTGAAACCTCATCAGCTAGCACAAGCACAAATCTAGTCTGGAAGACTGGCTAAGTTTTTCTTTGATGATACTTAGGATTTTGAGCTCTTTCAATGAACAAAGAGAAAGCTGTGGTATCACCTGATCAAACTCAAGCTGCAAAACGCTTCTGTCTTTCTTTAGGAATAAAACCCTTGCCTCCAAAATGCTGGGGGCTTTTTCTCAATGCTTAATCCAAACTCACCATAGTAGACATTTGTTTTTGTACATTAAAAAAATGTTTTTTAAATATTTATGTATATTATCATAGTATATACATTGTTGTACAGTAACATAGTACTAAATTATACTATTATATACAAAAATATATATAAAATATACTAATATGTAAGAATTATCTAAATATATAGTATTATTATATTACATAATAATATGACACTAGATTACATTCTTGTTTAACATGCTATATAAGTATAATTTTTAATACATATTAAAATATACATATATATTCAGGAAGAAATTTTTCAGACAGCTTTTCTGGAAACTCCTTAGGTAAATAATATAGAACTGGAAACCTTACTTACTTGAGATACACAGCAAGAAAAGGCCTTAGTTCATTTAGCAGATCACAAAACATCTATTTTTCACACAAATGCTTTAATTATGGCTATTGTCATCCCAGAAGCTCCAAGTTAAGTACATGAAACCACAAAACAAAAGTTAAAGTGCACCTGGCACTCCTCTGACTCTTCTGCAGTCACAGGAAGAATAGAAGGTTTTGCTGGTAATTTCAGTTCATATGACATTATACTCCACCTGAAAGAAACATAAGTTTCCAGACTGTTAGTTCCACACTCTTTCCACTTTATTAACAAAAAAAATAAAATTCACTGTCACACCACAGAATAGCTATGTATAAAAAAAAAGTAGCTTAATTTATAGTGGTAAACTATATGGGTGAAATAATTAGAGAGATTAAATAGATTAAATTAGAGATTAAAGGTAATAATTTGTTTTATTACTCAGATTATTGTTTAGTGTTTTGATTATCAGTCTCATCTGTGAAAAACTCATGGGATTATCAATAAAGGGAATAAAGATTTTCTGGAAAAAAAACCACTTACATTATAAAATAATTTATACAAACATACTGCAGAAGTCAAAGGAAACTAGATATCTTCCTAAAGAAAAATCTTTAAGGTGACATTAGCTTTCCATCTCAACTAGAGGAGGCAGGCATGAAAACAAAGCAAATGATGTAGTGTCTTCCTTGATGTATATATATTTTTTTGTGTGTGGTCCAGGAGAGCACTTGACAGCACAGATAGTATGAAAGCACTAATAGCAACAACATCCTTCAAAGCCTGCTGAAAAGGGCAAATAACCACTGCAGATGGGTCTTGGGAGCAAGTCTACTGAAATTATACAAAAAAATGAAACAGAGCCCTTTTTTTGCTACAGAAAAAGGGAAATTTGATTTAATCTACAAGTTTTTCAGAATCTGAGGATCAGTAACAAGCATTCCTCTACATACTTTGCTGTAAAGCAATCAAGTAGTCTGCAGAAAAGCCTAAAATAAAAAAAAGCACTTTTTTCTATTTCATAAAAATAACCTAAAGTAAAATTCCTTACGATGACATTCAAGTGTTTGTAACTAGTGCAAGAAAAGAAGCACTCACGAGAGATAGGAATAGTGTAAGAAATACTGCTCTGAAAAGCAGTGCTAGACTTCCATTGGAGCAACGTGATCACCATCATCTCTGGGTTTTTTTTTAAATGGGGTTGCTGCCTTTCTTTATGGATGAAAATTCCATGAAACAGGGAGGGGGAAGATCTCTTTTTTTTTTCACTAAGAAACTGCCTCAAACAGAAATATTAGTCATGGATCCAATTAGCCCCACATCTTGTCAACAGCTGATGCCTCAGGAAAGGGTGAAAGCACAAAGGTGAGTATTCCCCACATCCAAGGACAGAGAGCTCGGTGTTTTCTAAATAAAGATGCTATCATAATTGGTGTTTAATAAGCATGAATGGAGTCCATAAAATTTCTCAAATCAGTTTTGAATCTACACAATTTCTTAATGCTCACAACTTTTTATAACAGGCAGTTATGCAGCTCCCTCAGCCATGCAATAAGGTGTCAACTTTTGAATATGTTTGGACAGCACACTTGCCAGTTCCATCAACCACTCATCCCTCTGACTCTTTAGTTTAAAAAGCAGGCTAAAGAACTGTCCCCATCACAACTGCAGCTTCCTTCATGATTAAGACCTGCACTCAAAAAACAAATCCCACAGAACACCAATTCTCCAAGATGGATTTTAGGCCATCAAAAACCCAAATAAATACAATTTAAATCTCACAGTAAGTGATGCATATCCACATTTAGGTTTACCTGTCTAGCATTTTCGTGCTGGCTCGTTCTAGTTTTTCCAAAATCTGAGGAAGTTGTGTATCATCATCACAGGATCCACCCCAGCCAAGGACACGAGCAAGGTCATTTCCAGTACCAAGGGGTAACACTCCTAACTGACACTGAAACACAACACAGAAACAAATCTACTATTGAAAACTAGAAAAAAATACAAGTGTTTACAAATGCTTATTATTTCAATCAACAAATGTTAATTTCATAGAAGATGTCTAAAGCCTGTAAAATCAAATTGTGCTATTCTGCTACAACTTGTCCTTGAAAACTTGAAAACTTTCATTAAACTATTGATTTTCCTCATACACAGAGATGCAACAAAGAACCAAGTCAAGGAAAAGGTAATCACACAAAATTAAGCCTAGTCAGTCTAGGCAAAGAAAGTAAATATGCACACTTGCCTGCTTGTGCAAGCTGAGCTTATCAATTTCTGACAAGACCCAACCAACACTTCCATCGCCACCACACACAAGAATCCTGAAGTTGTCAAACTTCTGAAATAACCGCAAACTGCAGAGAAAATGCAGAGCCAGTTACATCCATTAGCAAGAGAACAGTGACAGTCATTAGAAATTGTTATAAGAAAATATTGTGCACAGCATCTTTATAACCCTTTTATTGTTGTGGGGTATGGGGATACAACCATCTATTTAATTAACCTATCTGCAGCCCATCTGTCGCTGTATATTCCACTTATACTGACATTTCTGATAAATAACATGCCAAATTATTCTTTTAAAAAATCCCTTGATATTGTTTTCAGGATTTTATAAGTCTGATTTTATTGATTTTATTAATATTTTAAAACATCCAAATTTAAGTGATAAAATTGGAACTGCTCCATGCTTCTCACTTCAGCCAGAAGCATAATGCACCACTGGGGATTTTTCACGAGAAGAGGTTAAGACACAATGACAGGATGTGCTCCACAATACGAGTAGGCTTTTGTGGGCACAGGGCTAACTAAATGTAAGCACCATTTAAGCAATTCTTAAACATAAGGTGATCATAACAATATAAGACAATACAAGTATTTAATATTATATCCTTAAAGCCATATGCTGCTTTCACTTCCTATTGTTCTTCCTCCTGTTCTCTAACTTTTAAGATCTCCAGAATATAACATAATAACATTTGGACAGTACAGAAAAGGAGGACAAGAGACAGAAAATGCAGAAAGGTGAGACATAGAGAAAAAGGGAATGAGATGTGAAGAAGCAGGCAAAAGATAAAAACAAAAGGCACTTAAATTAAAAAAAAATTGGAAAGTATAAACCCTTAAAATACTAACAACAAAGATATTTGGTTTTAATGCATGTTATTTTCCAGAATATGTATAATTTCAAACCATTTTTAAAAAGCAACATAACAAGATCACAAATTTCTGAAGCATTTCTATTTTTTCTAGAGAAAATAATGTGTACTTGAATACAATGGGCACATACCTAGTCAGAACAAAAGAAGCAGATACTTAAGGGGAAAAAATGTTGATACCAGAGCAATTTATCCTATCCTGAGAAAGAGGAGAAAGACCCTAGCAATACATTGTCTCATAGCATGCACCTCTGCTTTTCAGATCAATTAGGAAAAAAAGAAGACATCAGTGTGATCTGATGGAATACCTGCTAAGGATCTCTCCTTGGAAATTGTTTTGGAGAAGTAGTTAAAAGCCCCTGACATGAACTGCAATTTCTGTGCAAAATCAAAGTGCGTCATCTCAGCCATGGCACAACTATGTGAAGGAAGTGAACTTGCAAACATAACTTTCATACTCCTTTCAAACACTGTCTAATCAATTAAGACAAATGTTATATGTCATTATATTTACATGTACAAAATTCTAGCTAAAAGTGACTTGGATTCAGCTCAGACCATCAGGGTCATATTGAAAATAATATTACAACTCAGAGTTATTATGATGTGTCCATAACACAGTACAAATTATTATAATCCACAGCTCTAAACAATTATATTTGTATTATTTACACACTGCTTGAACTGAATTTTTGTGGATTTGCTCCATATACTTTTTATCATTAAGTATAATTCTACCTCTTTAAGAGTACAAAAATTAGTGCTTCTAGTTGTTGTAACTGATAGTATTAGGCCATTTAACCACATCACTATACCTGAATGGAATTGAGTTAGGCAACAGAAACATGGACATGAATTTAATCTTCATTAATGTGCAAAGATGATTGAGTTGTGGCCATCACTCTGCAAATTTCATTGCTGTCTCTGCAACAATCAACCCTTAGATTTTGGGGAGAAATGCCAGTTGGTTTTGTGTTCTTGCTCCAAATTCTTTGGGATGATCATTTTCTTGACTATTTCCATATGTTGCACAAACCATATTTTGGACATAATTTTCAGGTGAAAAATTTTTCAGGTACTTGTCCATCAACCCACTGCAGACCCCCCTGCTAACATTTGTGTTTAGAATTTTAAAAGATACAGAGAACATTTAAACAATAGTTTTATTCCATTACTACACAACAAAAGGCCAGAGGAATATCAGAATTATGCACGTGAGATGGAAGAACAGCACCTGGCAACTGTGCATAAAGCAAAATTAAAGTTCCTGTGATAGAGGAAAACATCTGCACATTTGTAACAGTTTTGAGCCTTACCGGTTAACAGAAGTCAAAGCTAGCCAAGAGCTTTTGGTTTTGAATTTTCGAGCTTTTCTAGAAGGAAAATGTTATCCTACAAACTCTTCAAACACCAGAATTTATAAAGACCTTGAAATATATCTTGAAATTGTATTGTCTCTTAGATTTTAATTAGGAAGTCAGAGTAGATATTGGTGATGGAATTATAGCAACAAGGGGATATAACACTGTAAAAAGCAAGGGGAACACAACACTATACTTTGCACCTAATTCCCTTGTGGAAAGGTTTGCTCAAGGTTTCCAAGGTCATTACCCTAAGTGAGGTCCTCCATTCATTAAATCGAAGACCTGAGCTGGATTTAACGACTGTTTGAATCGACGAAGAAACTTTACTCCCTGATTGTCTCCACTCTTTGAGTTAACAAAAACTAAAAGAGGACTGGCACAGGATGGCGGGCATGTGGCTTTCCAGAAACCTGTAAACATAGTTAGAAAGAATGAAATAAATAAGGTTTCCTAATATGAACAACACAAAAAGAAATCATGGGAAAGAGGAAGATAGGGATGAAGGACAAAAGGAGTACATTTTATCATGCATAATGTAAATGCTAAACTGAGTATTAGTCCTGCAAGGAAAAAAATATTACGCAAGATTTACCAGTTCTTTTTTTGTTTGTTTCTGGTATTTTCAGTGCCTAGATTTGGTAAAATCCTGAAGACAATAGCTTTATTTTTTTTCAACTGCCATTAACCTTTTAGAATACTTAAGTCTCATCTTCACAGATTATTATCACATAATTCAATATATATTTCAGTTACAAGTGTTTGGTTTTCAATATTATTTTCCTTTACTGGGTTGAACTGGATAATTCATGTCATGTCTGTATGAGCTTTTTAAGAGTACTCACAGATTTTAAGTTACTTGTACTCAGTTCCTCTCAGGTGAGACCTCACGGAAAATCCATTTTTTCAGACTGAGGTTATACTATTCAGTATAACAGAATCACTGAACAACAGAAGACCTTCAGCTGTCATTCAAAGCTTATTAAAGCCAGTGCAGGGCTTAACTAATTACAGCAGGCTCTCTATAAGGTCCTTAGTCAGAAGGACTAATGGACATTATTGTCGCTAACATGACCAGTCCATGGAGGTAATGGTTTCCCAGCAACACTCCAAAATCAGACATCACATGTATAGGTTTTGACATTTGTCTCCAGCAGTATTAAAATGATTATGTTGTTTTCAATTACTAAAAAAATACTAAAGCTACAAATAAAAAAATTCATTAAGGGATGCTAATTTAATTCCATATTATCGTAATGTCTCATTTCAAATAAGGTTTGATTAATTAATTTAAATGCCAAGAAAACTAATTTCACATATTGAACAATCTTCCTGGCATGAGTAATAAATGACAGCATGATGTCTAAGACACCTCAAAGCAAATAAATAGAGTGAATATATACAGCATACACAATCACTTTCACTAACTTCATGTAACAAAATTTATTTAATTGTGTTCATGGGGTTGGTCTACTTTACCATTGACACAAACTATAAAATTAAAATTGTTAAGATTTTGTGATACTTCTTTTTTAAATCCACTCTCTGCCTTGAAGTGCAGTCTCCCGCTGATGATGTGTCTCGGTCCTGGACCACCAAAAAGCATCTCTGAGTTTTGAGCATTTGCTGAGTTTTATCTGTGTGTTGCAGGATTTTTACACTGCTTATCTTTAAAAAAAATAAATTAGAGAAGCTATGGAAGCACTTCCTCTCTTAAGCCTGGTAAAGTAGTTGTTGGATCTGAGTTGTTCAGTTAACTTATCTCTGCATAATACAAAATTATCAAAAATTTGAGAACTCACAGAAGGAGTGGTGTATGCTAGGCTGGTATCAGCCCACTTCATCTGAGGATTCTGATCATTCACTTGAAATTTTTCTAAGGGTCATAAATAAAATGGAAGAAAATTTCTGCTGGGGCAACTTTAAAAAACATGCCAGTTGAATAACTCTCTAAAAACCTACACAGAAATTATACTTCTCTCTAAATTTGCAGATTGCATTCACCTGCTCAGCAGAAGGATTTTAGCCTTGTTTATTTGCATGGATCTCAATAGGCACTGGAATTGCAGAGGTACCACTGAACACACTACAGTATTACGTACCATCGGAGTCTATACTGTTTAGTGCTGTTGGAGGGATGATCGATACCTTACATTGGCCAAGTGGACATTTACGAGGGTACAGATCTTTACAGGCTGTGTGAACCTACAAAAGAAACAAATAATTGTTTTCTTTCAGCAAATTTTGAGGTGAAAATACAACTGATATTATGTTATCTATGTAACAAAAAATGGACTCATATTTAACATTTAGGTGGAGAGGGAAAAGGAGTGAGACTAGGAAAAAACCACAAATGTCCAACCACAGAGCCTTGTTACTAACTCAACAAAACATTATTTTGGAGAACTTCCGCTACCACTATAGCAGATAAGAATTATCCTTTCAAGGGAATCACTTGCCCCTATCCACAAGGAAGGAAGAAGCAAGCTCCCAGCATCTGTGCTGATGGCAGCAGGCTAAACAATAGCTCTGAACCTGCCTGGTTCACTGAGGCCATTCTGGAACACACATCTGCATTAAAGATAGCACACCTACCAAGCGAGACGCATCTCCCAAAGTTGGGTAAAACAAACTCCATATTGCAAAGGCCTTTTCCACATATATTGGAAAGAGAGGCACATGCAGAGGTGGCTACATTCCATCTAAATTTCAAGTCACCTCTGAAGATGCCAATCATTTTCTACAACTCATTCACAGAGCCTTGGACACCTATATGCCAGAAACTTCAACAATAAATAAACTGCTGACTTGCATAAGAAATCCATCTTTTTAGACAAGTTGATACAATTAAGAGAAAACTATATATTGGGGAAACAGTAGTAGTGAGTTAGAGAATTTCAATCAGCAACCTACAGATTGCCCTGAAGAAGACAAAGTCAAGATGTCACACTAATAAACACATTACTACATTAATAAATATGAATATAACATATTATTAAAATATTAATAGAGCAGTATCTACAAAAAAAAATACAAGGAAGTAACATATGATTGTTACACATAAAGATCAGGCACCTGAACATTCAGTTCAGAATGAACTAGAAGAACAACAGCTAGAAGAATGCAGAGAAAACACATTGGAGATGACAACACCTATTAAAGAAAAGCTGCATCTGCGGGTGTATTTAAAATTGATTCTGCAAGTAGGACAGTCATCAGAAATTCTGAATGCTAGAGAGACCTGAGTTTGCAGAAGCTGCCTGCTCCTTCTTAATCCAAAAGCAGGTTGTGGAATGACAAAACAAAAGTAATGGCAAGCACTAAAGCTGTCGAACTGCGAGATGCTTGGATGTGGCTCAGCACACCTACCATAGCTTTACACCAAAGGCACTTCCAATCCTGCAGGCGTAGAACACTGCCACAAGTCTTGTCGCAGACTGCGCACTTGGCACTGACGGGCAGGTTTCCCTCTAACCACTGGTGAGGCATCGCTATCTGTGGAGAAGGAGTCATTAGAGTTCAGTACCCAGAAAGAGAAATTAAAGGCTTTTGTCTCTCAAATACAGGTGGATTTAAACTATTTCTCAGGGCTGTACCCTTTCATCAAAGAAACAGGTATGCTGGTCAGCCAGGATAAGGGACACTGATGCTCAGAAGGCAACTGCAATGAATGGACCACTCTGGTGTTCCACATGCTAGTCAGAAAACACGACACCTGAAGAAGGGAGACCTGCCTCACTCATGGTAGCAATAAACCATAACACAATGGGGCAGTTAAGTCCAGAGTCTCTGCCATACAAAGAAGTTCCCACTCAGTTATGTTGACTACATGACACAAACCAATTAAAAATACCTAAAATTCATAAAAATAGGCAGGACAGCAGAATTCCTCTGTCGCTTCACTTACCCACTCACCATGGCTGGTAAGTCACGGCTCTCTAAAGCAGTCCCAAATGCAGTGCAAAGCTTTACTCAGTGCACTCTTTTTCCCATTAATACCATGGGCAACTCAGGACACTCAGGTGTTCAACTTAGTATCAGCCTTCTAAGAAGAAGCTTCACACCAGTGGTTCATACACAGCTGTGTTTGTAAAAATAGTCCATTTATCACAATCAACCTCTCAAAGGCTTTTGTTGTTTCTCCTGCTAATTTTAAAATTCCTGCTTTCATCACCAAAATCCCCTCCCAATTCAGTGAATTCCAAACAGGCCTCCCGGGGAACTGCTCCAGGGAAAGAGGACAAAAAATACATTGCCAAAACAGCATGTAACAGTGCAAAATACCACCTTAGCTTAAGAGCAGTAGGAACTTCTGGGAGCAATTCTCCAGCTGCAGTTTCTCCGCATGTGGCCTTTAAAACCTTGTAATACATCTGCAATCTAGCGCCCCACAGTTGGTAGACTTGTCTTGTGAGATAGGAATGCAACTTTTGTTCTAAATACCATGTTAATCTTTGAACAGTGTTCAGGAAACTAGCCACCTACCATTAACTTCAATGGGTCACATGGGAATATTTCTGTGGCTGGGCTTTTTTTGTTTTTCCTGAAGAAGAAACAGCTTTGGAAAATACTGTAAAAATGAATAGTACTTACACCATCTTCATCTTCAATGATGTCTTTTCCAATGGAGGCTAATGTGGTCCATTTGCAGTTATTTGTTGCTCGGACAGCACATCTTTTATGTGCTTTAAACTTACACACTGCAAGACATAGATAAACATATATATCCTGTGTTATTTGCTGTATTTCAGTGATACACACTTTTCAAAAAATTATACACAGACATACCGTAAAATAGCCAAGTACATATCACTTAGTGTTGTACACGACACAAAACAACTAAAAGAAAATTCAGCTCATAATCACTCCAGCTTTAACTCTCTAAACCGGGTTAACTGCTTAGCTGTAGCCCATGCTGAATGTGCCCTGAAACCCACATTGGCCCCCCTTTTTTCAGGTGCAAGGTACATTATATCTTTAACTATGTGTTTGCCTTTTCCGTTTCTCCGGTAACATGACTCAGATATCTGACTTAAATTTGCAGGAAGTCATGGAAGACTGTTTTACAAGAGTATTTGGAAACAGGAGCTCTGTTTCTTTGCTCAAAAGATGCTTTCAGGGCACCATGCTGGGCCTATTTTTCTCAGAACATGAGAAAATGAAGGGTTTACATGGTGATATTTTTTTTCAGGATACTGGGGATTACAAAATTTTCCCAGAGCCTATATCACATTAGGAAGAACCTTACTTTTTACTGCATTCTTTGTTAAAAGTCTGCCAAAGAGAATACCCAGCACAAGTTAGGCAGACATTCGGACAACCTAACAACTATTTGAATTTTGTTCAACTCAATTAATATGCCTAGTTAACCATACCATATTAGACCAAACAGACTGACGCACCCAAACCGTGGGTATTTCTTCTACTGGAAGTGCATGATGTAATTCTATTTAGAGTGCATTATATAAATTATTTTGGCAAAGACCATTAAAGGTTTATGAGTACTAGCCAGTAGATCAGAAGTAGTAGTCTCTTTTCAAACAAATATTTGACAGGAAATTATCAAGGCTTTGGCCCATCGCTTATCTACCATTAAAAAACATTAAGCCATAGTACAAAATGTCTTGTGAATAATACATTTTCCATTTTAATTCCACTGATCCATTGCCAGATCAATTTAAAAAGTGAATTGAGACTATGTAAGCAACATCTGAGTTTGAGAGCAATCCTCACTGTTCTGGCAGATGTGTGAAAGTAAGTGCTCAGCTCTCACTTTGTTACTTTCTAGAAAGAAAGAGAAGGAAAGAAAACAAAGAAGTTTCATTGCTTTTACAGAGTCATTTCAAAAAGAAGCATTCATATAATCATAGAATTATTTGGGTTGAAAGAGACATTTAAAGATCATTTAGTTCCTGCTGTGGACTGTGACATCTTTTACTAGACTAGGTTGCTCAGAGCTCCATCTAGCCTGGTCTTGAACACTTCCAGGGACGGAGTGTTCACAACTTCTCTGGGCAACCAGTGTCTCACCATCGTCCCAGTAAAGAATTTTTCCTACTTTCTAATCTCAACCTACTCTCAGTTTGAAGTCATTTCCTCTTGTCCCTACATGTCATTGTAAAAAAACTCTCTCCATCTTTCTTGCAGGCTCCCTCCAGGTACTGGAAGGCTGCAATTATATCACTCCAGAGCCTTCTTTTTTCCAGGCTGAATAATCCCAACTCTCTCAGCCTTTCCTCACTGGAGAGGTGCTCCAGCCCTTTGATCATCTCCATGGTACTCCTCTGGATTCACTCAAATAGGTCAATGGCCCCCAACCTAAGAAAGACATGGACTTGTTGGAGCAAGACCAATATAGACTCAAAGCATGCAAATATCCCATAACTGTCAACTAACAGGGTTGACTCACTTTTTCTAAACAGCTCAACATCACACTGTGTGTTTGCCAACCTAAGATGGTTCCAAACATGTAATTAAGCCAGATCTCAAAGAAGCACAGAAATAAAGGCCATATTTTTAAGTGATGGACCATGAGCAGTTTTCACCATCTGCATGTTTCAGACAAGACATGCCACTCAATTCAGCCCCCTACACATAAATGATAAGCACTTTCTTTGCCACACAGATCAAAATACAACAAATCAGGGATGAGGGGGAATAGGAAATTACAAATTACAAAGTAATAGAATGTTGAAACCCTACTGACTTGATCTTAGGAACCCTGTGTTCAGCTTATTTCTCAACAAGGCAAAGACAAAATCAATCCCAGGCTCTGAAGAGCTGCAGCAAGCCACTGTGTAGATGGCAAGGGACAAGTAATGTTTGCTTTGTAAGTACTATAAATAACCTACCAACCAAATTTCAGATCAGACTCTTTGGGTCACCCCCCTGCAACCTCATTATCATGAAACAACAATTTAAGTTAGTCTGAACATTAAATATTACCAACAACAATAACCTTAAGACACAGATGCAACTTGCAAGCAAAGAAAGGAAGATTTTGAATCAAACCTCAATATTAGTTACCACTACGACCTAGCTTCTTTTGTCTCAGATTACACTGAATCTCATTAATGAATCAGTCTGATACCTGAAATCTTTTGGAAAATATGCAGACATATGGCTAGACATCAACTGCCATTACTTTGCCAATGAAAGCTAAAACACGAGAAAAGTTAAGTTACTCAGGAAACTTAATATTGTAATATAGTTTCTGAATGCAGGTGTGCAGTCATTGGTTGTATGACCACACACTTTTAGAAAACAGGACTCTCAGTCACTGTATGTAATGGATGGTTCTCAATAAGTATGGGGTTGTGCCATACTCTGCTTCATAATAATTTTCAACAGGTATTTGCCTTATTGACCAAAAGTTAATGTAATACTGCTTTTCAGCCATCAATATTAATTTCTTCCTGGCTTTTTAGAATTATTATTATTGTTGTTGTTGTTGTTACTATTATTATTAGTTATTTTTGTTGTATTTATTACTATTATTATTATTATTATTGTTAATTATTGCTGTTGTTGTTGTTGTTGCACCCACTTACTACAATTAAGACTTTTTTTCAATACTGTATATCTTCAAAGCATCAGCGACTTCAGTAATAGAAAATATACAGGTTGCTGGTTATAAAGAAGGCACAACTACTGATTTGATCGAAGATCTTATTTAAATGTTTTCCCCAGCATCACAGAAGTGTACATGTGATATAAAGTCACAGAACAGTTTTCTACTACTCCTTCATTCTTTAATAACAAGCATCCCTTCATTTCTTGCTGCTTCATTCACTATTCACTCTCCAGACTGTGCAGAAAATATGGCAAAAGTATCAGAGGCAATGACTGTGCAAGTAGCGCCCACACAATTCCCTGGGCAATGGGTAAGAACAACACGGTTTTGTGGGTAAAACCCCACAGCCATAATGGAAAAAGACAAAGTGCACAAAGTGCATTTGCAGAGGTAATTTAATCCCAGTATTTTCTTACTGATTGACTTCATCATCCTAAAGTGTTCTTATAACATTGTGCGATTCATCACAGGAGAATGCAGTTTAAGAGAGAGCTTTCTCCCACTTATTAGCTATGCTTGAAATTCAACAATCAAGGTCCTGTCATGATAAACAAAATGCTACATGAAAAAGTAAATTTCTGAGAATAATCATAAATGCAGTGTTCCACTGGCAATGACTTAGATAGAAATGCAGGATTGACACAGAGTAACTGAGGTTACAGAACTCTGGAAGAGTTTCTGTAGATAATAATATGTCATTCTTTAAGCTTCTTTGCCTAAACATTCCATATTGAAGCTAAACTCTCAGGAGCATAAAAACCAAAATCCTTTCTCGATTCAGCTGATTTGGAATAATTCCTAAAGCAAGGCACAGAGGTCATAATTCCTCTGTCCTAGCAAAGACTGGATGAACATTGCAGGGATCAGTCCTTTAGCTAGAGCAACACAACACAGAGACAACATTGGAAAAGTAGATTATCTTTTGAGAAGACAAAAGAAAGAACCTGTTGGAAGAACAGCATTGCACCTCAAAGGAGAGTCTGATTAATTTTTTTTAGAAGTCAATTGCTTGTTGAGCAGTAGCAAGAATGAAGCCTGGTTTTTTATAACTTACATCTTCAGATTGAGATACATATCAGTTCTCTGACTTCTAAAAAGGTGCAAGTTCACACTAGTCTTTCACCTAGCAAAGGTATTAACCTGCCATCGTTTTCTACGCTGGTTTCCACAAGTCTTAGTGTCTTCAGGGTGGCCTGCAATTAATTTGGCCAACCTTTGCCAAAGGCTGCTGGGATGGAAGGTGCCCTGAAGAAAAAGTCATCATCTCCATTCACCCACCATCTCCAAAAGAAATGAGGCTTGATTTGTGGCCAGACTTTAAAAACGTAGTTGTGCAGGAAAACAGCAACTTTAAGATACTAAAATATTACAGGACAACTAAACTGTCAAAAGCTGCAAGACATCTGCAATGGGGTTTATTTTTTACCTATAATTAAGAGTCAAGAATCAGACCCCAAAGACTCTAAGCTACTTTCAAGACAACTTGGTGTGCCAGTAACCCAACCCACTAACAGGAGGAAGAGCTCAATTATCTCTTGAAAGAGGCTCTCATGCTTTTCAATACAAGGCATAATAGAGTAGCCTGGGATCAATGACCACACAAATAACTGAATTTTGTATAGATATAAATGGATTCCCAGTATAAAGCACTGCTGGAGGTTTGAAAAGCCAGACATGAATATTTAAACAGGTTTTTAAAATTATGTAATGGGGAAAAGCAGCACAGAACAAATCTGGGCAATGTTAAGACTCCAAACTTTCCAGATAGTCCTCTCAAACTGTATAGACTGCTAATACAGGTAAGATAAAGAAAAAAAAATAGATTATTAAATGCATTAGAAGTGCACATAATAGAAGCAAGTATCAAACAAAAATGCATTTTTAGCTGAAGAAATTAGAGATGATGGGTTTTAACATGAATACATGATTACAGAGAAAGTATAAAGTATAACAGTAAGAGTCAAATGTCAAATGACTTAGATCAGATATAAAACTAAGGATCTTATTTTATTTTTTTAAAAAAAGAAGAAAATAGATATAAAATAGAAGCTAAGAAGTTAGAGGAGGCAAACTTATTAATAGACAAAAGAATATCACAGTATCTACATGTAAAACATTCCAGGTCATACTAGATTATTAAACTGTAGAACGGTGAAAGGAAATCCAAATCACTTTCACAAGCTACTTTTAAAAACTGGCATCAGAAATGTGGATAAACATAGCATTAGTTCATCATCAGTTATACAGAAGGTGGCAAACACCAAATCTGGAAATTATGGGAACTTCCCTAATGTAAAGTTAATGCCAACACCCTGTATATTAAAAACATACTTAGATGCAAAATTAGACACTGGAAAAACATAAAATGGTGAACTACAGACATTAACATTGATAATTTTGGATAAATTACCCTTTTAGAGTAGCTATAGTATTAACTTAGGAATGGATAAATTCTTTATGAAAGTCGTTCCTTTCCCTTGCCCAAGCAAACATAACAGTATTTGTACACAGAGGCAATACAACTGCATTTTAGTTAAGCACATGATACTTCCATCTGTCAATATCAGACATTGAGAATACCATAATTGCCTTTAAACTGTCCAAAGGACTTATTCACAGTGGAAAACATACACCAGAGAGGCTGGAAGTAACCATGCTACTTCTAATTTCTACAAAACGGGTTTGTCCTGTTCCTTGGCAACTGCACCATTAGCTACATTAAAAGCACGGACAATTTAGGACAATGGGTTAATGTTCCCTTTGTAAGATTTCCTTAATACATATTATTATCCTCAAGTATTATAACAGCATCAATAACAGTAATGCATTGGCTGTTAGGTTACATACATCCAAAGAAATCAAATTATGAATAGTGTAACTGTAACTCTTTTCTGGGCAGTCAGCTACTTTAGTAATTAAATATCTCTACATTTCATATATCTCATAAGGTCACACAGATGCTTTATTTTCTGCTGTCTCCTAACACAAACAGACTTGTTACCACTTTTCCACAGAACTTGCAGGAATAAAAAAATAAGCTTATTTATTTATTTAACAAATATTATAATTATTTGTTAATTAAATATAATTTCTAGCTAAATGCTGAAGTTTTAGCCACACTTGCTTTTTGTTTGTGCTGGATTTCCCCTGTTGAACCATCAAATGCAGTCATCTATATCTCTACTCCCTCACAGCATGAGTATTTTTAAAGCAGTAAATCAGTGTGTACTGCAGGATCAGGCAGCAGCAATAGAGAAAAAAATAATAGGAGGGCAAGGGACATAACACTTTGCTCAGTGTTAAGAATGCTTTTAGATTTGGGGCCGAAAATAATTTTTTTTTTTTCAGAGAAATCCTGATTCTGCAAACCAGTACAACTATTTGGTTCCACATTTTTGATGTGCAAATCAAATAAATGCTATCTTTTCTTGCAAAGCCTCCACCCTGTACACTCCAAACTGGTTGCTGCAACAGAGAGAAGTGTTCTATTGAAAAAGGCACCTGGAGCAACAGGAAGGTGAGGCAGATCATTAGCAGTCCCTCTGCCCGGAGGAAGGTCACTCTCATGTAGAGTTTTCTCCCTTCAAGCTCTTTTGTTCCTCATCTTCAGGATCATTACTCATACTGAAGTTGCAGCCATGTCTCTACACACATAGCATGATAACCAGGGGGAAGGGATGGTTACTTTACCTTCACAGGACAGGCCGTGAGAAGTGACTCCAGAGAGGCTCTCTCTGCACACGTTACAGAAGGTGGGTCGGGCGTGGGAGCAGGCGTACCAGTTATGCATCCCTGAGAAATGTTCCACATTAAACTGTGCGGTCTAGTAAAGGAGAAGTTAAGACAAATTTGCAAGTACAGAACACAGCTACGGTGACTGACATTACGCATGGTTCCATATTACAGGGGACCATAGAGAAATGCTCATCAAAAGGATTTTCCAAAGGGTATTTAGCCTGCTCTCCCTCCAAATTCTAAACCGAAGTGTGATAATAAGCTCTCATTTTGGCAAGTTCTTAAGGTGAACTTAAGACATTAAGTTCACTCTGACATTAGACACACTTTTCACACTACTCCAGTTCTGTGTCCTGCTTGATCTGTTGAGCCAGAAGAGGCTGCAGAGAGAGGGATGTCAGCTTACCTCATAGTGTTCTCTGGACTGAACGGACTTCAGAGAGCTTATCCAGTCCTCCATTTCTTTTCTGTTCTCAGCACACAATATTAGCCTCCTAAATGGAGTGATTATCTGAAAAAGATAACACATCCTGATTAATCCAGATAGTAAATATCATGGCAGACTATGATATTTAATGTACTCTTCCCCGTGAGATGATGCAAAAGGATGACACGCCCTAAAAGGCAAGATCCTAAACAATAAAATATTACATTAAAAATATTTTCTTTAATATTTGTTGCACTACCAGCAACACAAGAGTTTGCTTTTCCTTGTACAGTTCCCAAGTTTCAAATCAAGTTTTGGTACAGGTCTCTGGAATCTACAATGACCATTACACCTTCTCAGCTCTTTGTCTAGGCATTGAGATTCAAATGCTCAAATGGCAGGCACTGAAACGCTGAAACAGCCATTCTGTAAATGACTATTTGACTAAGACTGCAATCCTATTTCATAACTGCATCATAGCAACTGCAAGGTCCATTCCAATTAATAGAGATAAAAACATATCAAAACCAAATGCCTGGAAGTCTTAAACAACCACAAAAGCTGTCATCATATTTCACTATCTTGCATACTGATAATATATTTACAAAAATTTATACACACAAAAATTTAAAACAGCACTTTTTATATCCAACTATATCAACTCAGTATAAGAACAGACACAAATCTTTATAAAAAGGCACATAGAACAAAAGCAAACAGTTGAAATAATATCCTACTAGGAGAATTGAATGAATTCCTGGAACAAGTTGATGCTGGGAATTTTTCAGTGGTCTAGAGTTGGATTCTAGAAATCTGAAAATACTGTACCAAGGAGGTTCAGAGTACAAGCTGCTCTCCCCTCTCTCTAAACAGAAAAATAATCAAAATAACAGGAAGGCAGCAGAAACTATCAGCTAACTCCCACTGAAATTATTTTGAGCACTGCATTAAAATAGCCAAAGCAGTTACTTACATGGCAAAGAATTTAAAACAAGTACAAGAAAATAAGGAATGTTATTTGTTTTGTTATAGAAAGTCTGAAAAATAAAATTAAATTCTTTATCAGTATTATGCATTAATCTATTGCCTAGTATGTACCACCAACACTTGCAAATCAAATAAAACAGAGAAAGGACCACCAAAAAAATGGTAATTCTCAGTATTCTTTAAATGCTACAAGCTAGACATTACAACTTATACACAATATTAGTAAACATTTATCTACAGCTTCAGTTACTTACCCAGTCCCTGCCGTAAATTGTCTCTAGCCTTGATTTGTCCTATCCACTCCTTCATTAAATTGAGCTGCACTTTAACATATCTCAGAGGCGACGTAACTGAAGTGCAGCAGGCTGCAAGTCACATGGAGGGGAGGCAAAAACCCTTTGGGCCTGCCTTTTTTTTTTTTTTAATGTACTCACTTCACATGGAAGGGAATAGTTTCTTTGTTTTCTGTTTCCTTCAATCTTGCTTAAGCTATTTAATAAGGTTTATTAGTAGGTTTCCATGGCTTTTCCTAAAGAACAGTTTATGCAAAGAGCAATGCTTCTCTCATTAGTTTGGAGCCAAACAGACGCTTTATTACTTCAAAATGTTTTTCTAGGCCAGGTCATCCAATGAAGCCAAGAAAAGTCATTAAATCATAATATAACCCTGGCTCCACCAACAATCAGCATTCTGCTGAAATTTCCAGGTTTCAGTGGACACAGAAATCTTATTTGGGCAAATACAAGCCACAGATTATTTCCTATTATATAGCATGAGATTATAGTACAGACTAAATAATGATAAATCCACCTAAGACTTGGCACATTATGTCCATCCTCCTGCCATAGTTATTACTGATTCTAACCAGTAACCACATGTTGTGAAATGCCATTAAGCAACAACAGCTGCATATACTGCTGAAAACTCCTGACTAGTCTTGATCTTTTCAAGTAATACTTAGATATATATTACTCCTGTCTTCAAAAGTACTGGTCACAATCCAATGCGCATCCCTCCGCCCTTCCCCACTCTGAAATGTATGCCCTGGTTCAGTTGCTCACACCTAGTTACCTAGTGCCAATGAAGACACCCTTTGGTATCAAAAGTTTTGGCAGGGGAGGGGTAAGTATGACAGAGGACCAGAACAGTAGCTATAAATAACCAAGGTGGGACATCAAACTTCCTTTCAAAATGCCCTGCACACCCATTTATTGGCAATCGAATCACATCACCAAACACTACTAACCAATGCATGTAAACACACCAGAAATTCATATATTCCAGCTTCTTACTACAGAGTGCAAAAAACTTAATAAAGTTCACAGCATTGCAGCAGTCTAACAGCTCAACAGGATACTGTCAATCATATGAATATAGGATCAATTATTACTGCTACAAAAATAAAGTGGTAAGTCGGAAGACGTACATATTTGTAAATACAATTAAACTACATATTCTCTTTGATTTATATATTTGTGACAATGAACTCCAAGATGGTACATAGTAACATGAAAAAAGACAAAATGCATTATATGCAAGAAGTATCAACAATGCTTGAAATTTTAAAAATAAAATAAAATAAAATAAAATAGGAACCAAGAAGCCTGTTTAGCTTCTCATCTATTTCAGTCTACAAAATCATGGAGAAAATGTACTCTCATTACTTTTTAGATATTTCATGTACCATAAGAACTCAGGAAGCCAAGGAAACCATTAGCAAACAACAAGTGTTTTTCCCTAAATACAAAGAATTCTTTAAACTTGAAAAGTATTCCCAAAGGATGCTGAGGAGACGAAAAGTAAAAATGCCCAAAAAGGCATTTGGAAAATTCATCACAAATAAATGCATCATATACTATAGAAGACAGTATCTGACATCTTCAATTTATCAGGTCTTCAAAAGTCCAACAATGAGTCAATGTTGGGAAGTGACTCAAGGGTAAGAATCACTGTATATGCTCTGCTGTTTCTATTTCATTCTTTAGTATCTGCTATTATTATTATTATACTTTGATTCAACTTTTATGAGCTTTACACTAACTCAGTACAGCTTTTCTTGTTTATCCTAAATTGAGATTGACTTCCTAAAACTTCTTATTTGCATTTAAACAGATGGCATGCTTTCTTCTGAATGCTTACACAATGCTATGATTAACTATGTGGGATGTTTGAAGTTCATTCACAATAGACAACTGAACCTGTATAGAGACATAATCAAAATTAAAACAATTTTCCTGCCATGTAAATTTGAATTTAACTCGTAATACTCTCTCATTCCATGTATTCATATTCAGTCCTGTATATTCTCTTCTACTGACCCAAGTCAGCACCTTTTCTTCAATTACATATTACCTTTTTGTTCTTCATTGCTCCAAATATGCCTATTTGTATATTGCTCAGATTATGCTGAACTCTCAACGGAAAGGAAAGGGAGGGAGGGAGGGAGGGAAAAGCTCTATAACACAATGCAAAGGAAGTGTTACAGGAACCACTGGGAGACCACTGAGGTAACGCAAAAATAAGAACACTCTTACGTCTTGAAGGAACTCAGGTGCCAACAGTTCACATGCTGACAAAGCAAGAGACAAATCACAAAAGATTAAGACAGTCAGAAGGTCTTAAAAAATAAATAAGATTACCTTCCTTTGAAACTTTTCACCATTGTCAAGCAGCCAAGAAGTAACTGCTGATTTTGGAAAAGACAATTACCAAGAGCAGACACTGCAGTATATTGGAAAGTAATAAAATAGAGGTAGTTGGAATAAAAGACACCTTTAATGCAGTGGGCATTGGGAAGAGTGAGCATATACAGTCTTAGAAGTTGAAGACAACCAACACAAACCCTAAAAAATCCCAGGAAATAAACAATGTCTGAATGGGAAATAAAACTACCCATTACTGCAATAATGTTCTTGTTCTGTTTAGAAAAGTAGGGGGATTTTTTTTTAATGGGGAATGAGGGAGAGAACAAGAGATCACTGTTCACTCTGCTACCACATAGGTCTTGCCTTAAATTGGGATTTTCACACAAACACTACGATAATTTGGCTTCTTAAAATATATATATATATGCATATATATATGTACATACACATCTTGAAATTACTTGGATGACATTTCTACAGTCAAGTTTGGGACCACTACTACAACTTTTCTTTCAGACAACACTTACTAGGAGCAAGCTTAACATCTTGAAAGGAAATAAAATCAAAAAAAAACAGTCATCAAATTCAAAGTAAATTTGAAAGTCGTTTCTTCTTTAAGTGGGCATAACCTAACCAGTAACATTCTACATGCCTTCAGCCCAGTGGGTTTAGACTTACAATCTATAAAATAAAATCACAGAGCGTTTGATTAAAGCCTATTGCCTAATTTTTATTCTATTTATTTTACTATCAGCAATATATAAGAAAATACAGTTCCCAAAGCATGTTAGCTCCAGTTCTGGCTTCTTTTACTAATTCGAAATGAAGACACAGTGTTTGCTAATCAAGAGAACAGTGCTCTATACCTAAGTAGCTACAAAGCAGCTACTGTAAAGCATTCTGTTTCCTGCAACATGATATTTGCATTAAGGCACCTTCTGTCACTCTGAACTATTATCAGACATTACACTAATAGCACTTTGTATAGCTGATCTTGAATTAAATTACTAATGTAGAAATGTCACATAGAATCTGAAGGAGCTGGGGAAATGGTTTTCCTGTTCTCTGGGCAGATATTTTTAAAATATCTTTCTGGAAATAATGAAGAGAGGATGATACAGAGAGAACACCCCAACTCTCTTCTTAGGGACTATATTCAATGTCTGGGACAGGAGTGTAATATTAAATGCTTCCTAACTTCTCTGTGCTTACAGATGTTGGCAAGTCAATAAGGCAAATACCAGGATAACATGCTCTGCCTCCCTTCCTTTTCCATTCCCCTTTTCTCCATTCCCCTGTTCTTGTGCAGGTGGGTCTGTATGAGTGTGCCAGGTGAAGGCACCTCCACCAATGGTAGAAGTGGACTGCTGGGGTCATTGATGCTCCCACACCTTCCAGAACTTGTCTGCAAAAATCACAGTGGTAACAGCTGGACATCTTTCTAGATTATTC